CGAGGCTACTGCCGGTTCAAAGCCCGCATAAAGGAGGAAGGTTAGACATGGGGTTGGCGACCCCATTCCGTCAAAAACCAACCTGCCAAAAAAACGCTGACCAGAAAAACTAATTCAAACCATTTTAACTCTGCCCTGGGAGGTGGAAGAAGAATTATGACGTCGCGTAATGAAAGCCAACTTCCCTCGGAAGTCACGTGGCCGATGCCTCTTCTGACAACCAGAACAACCATTCTTTTAGGTACATGGAACGTTCGTAAACTGTGTGAGACTGGAAGACTATTTCAAGTTGCTGCAGAAATGAAAAGATACAAACTCGAGGTGCTCGGCATCAGTGAAACACACTGGACACAGGTAGGACAACTGAGACTAGCTTCAGGGGAACTGCTGTTATACTCTGGTCATGAAGAGGAAAATGCTTCACATACACAGGAAGTTGCACTGATGCTGTCCAAACAAACACAAAAGGCACTGATAAGATGGGAATCTCATGGACCAAGGATCATTAAAGCATCCTCCAAAACAAAGAAACAGGACATTACAATGAACGTCATCCAATGTTATGCACCAACCAATAACTACAATGACGACGTTAAAGATCGGTTCTACGAAAGACTACAGTCAATCGTCGAGAAATGTTCACCAAAGGATTTGACGATTCTTATGGGTGACCTGAATGCTAAGGTTGACATGGACAACACTGGATATGAAGACATCATGGGACGACATTGACTGGGAGAAAGGAACGAAAACGGTGAGAGATTTGCAAACCTATGTGCCTTCAACAAACTGGTCATAGGTGGTGCAAAATTCCCACACAAACGCATACACAAAGCCACATGGAAAATATGTGGAGGATCTAGCAATGACGCCGGAAAAGGCTGCAAGAGACGGAAACTTGAGACAATTGTACGAAACAACAAAGAAGCTCGCCGGAAACTATCGTAAAGCAGAACGACCAGTGAAAAGCAAGGAAGGCAAAGTAATCAGCAACACTGAACAACAGCGAAATAGGTGGGTAGAACACTTTAAGGAACTCTTGAATCGACCAGCTCCACTGAACACACCCAACATCGAAGCAACATCCACGGACCTCCCAATTAATATTGGCGCACCTACAATTGAGGAGATCAGTATGGCCATCAGACAAATCAAGAGCGGCAAAGCAGCAGGACCAGACAACATTCCAGCAGAGGCAATGAAAGCAGATGTAGAAGCAACTGCGAAAATATTTCACATCCTCTTCAAGAAGATTTGGGATGAGGAACAAGTACCATCAGATTGGAAAGAAGGATAACTTATCAAAATACCAAAGAAAGTCGGTCTCAGCAAATGTGAGAGCTACAGAGGCATGACTCTTCTTCCAATACCAGGCAAAGTCTTCAACAGGGTATTGTTAAACAGAATGAAGGAGTTCGTAGACGCCCAACTTCGAGATCAACAGGCCGGATTTCGTAAGGATCGATCGTGTACTGACCAAATTGCTACATTACGGATCATTGTGGAACAATCAATTGAATGGAACTCACCACTCTACATCAACTTCATTGACTACGAGAAGGCATTCGATAGCGTGGATAGGAAAACACTGTGGAGGCTTCTTCGACACTACGGTGTGCCTGAGAAAATAGTTAACATCATACGGAATTCTTATGATGGATTCAACTGCAAAATCGTACACGAAGGACAGCTAACAGACTCTTTCGAGGTGAAGACCGGTGTCAGGCAAGGTTGCTTACTCTCACCCTTTCTCTTTTTCCTGGTGATCCACTGGATTAGGAAGACGTCGACATCTGGAGGGAAGCTCGGTATCAACTGGACAGTTAGGACGCAGCTGGACGATCCGGACTTCGCAGATGACCTGGCTCTTCTAATGCACACACAACAACAAATGCAAGAGAAGACGACCAGTGTAGCAGCAACTTCTGCAGCAGTAGGTCTCAACATACATAAAGGAAAAAGCAAAATTCTCCGATGCAACACAACATGCACCAACCAAATCACTCTTGATGGAGATGCCTTGGATGACATTAACACCTTTACATATCTGGGCAGCATCATCGACAATCAAGGTGGATCCGATGCAGATGTGAGGGCACGGATTGGCAAAGCAAGGGCTGCATTTATACAGTTGAAAAATATCTGGAACTCCAAACAGATATCAATCAACACCAAAATAAGGATTTTCAATACAAATGTCAAGACAGTTCTAATGTATGGAGCGGAAACTTGGAGAACTACCAAAGCCATCATCCAGAAGATACAAGTATTTATTAACAGTTGTCTACGCAAAATACTTCGTATTCGTTGGCCAGACACTATCAGCAACAACTTAATTTGGGAGAGAACAAACCAGATTCCAGTGGAGGAGGAAATCAGGAAGAAGCGGTGGAAGTGGATAGGACACACATTGCGGAAAGCACCTAACTGCGTCACGAGACAAGCCCTCACATGGAACCCTCAACGCTAAAGGAAAAGAGGAAAGATATGAGAGGAATGAACAAACACTGGACAGAACTGGAGAAGGAAGCCCAGGACACAGTTGGTTGGAGAAAACTGGTGAGCGGCCTATGCTCCCTCGTGGGTAACAGGCGTAAGTAAGTAGGTAAGTGATGGTTTCTATTGTGAATCGACATCAGATATGGTAAAAGAATACCATGTGTTGGTACATGCAGGAAGGAATAGCATGATATGTAGTTTTGTGATTATGAAGACAGATAAATGAGTCAAGGTCGTTCGGAGATTTGGCTCAGCTTTACCTAGATTTGTACATTAACAAAGTCGAACACTTGTTTAAATAGTTTCCAATGCTCTTAGATATTAGGCAATCTTTATTATGAATCGTACTTGACTTCAATGTATAGAGTTGAAGTTTCTCATTCATTTGCTCCATCCACCAATAGCATGGTAGTCATTTGTCCTTCAAGGACGTAACTACCTACTTTTAGTTTTGGATCCATGTCCTATCTTGTGCGCTGTGGTTGAAATGGTCAATTTGTTGCTGTGAAGTGATTGTTTCATCCCGTGATTGCTAAAAATTTAAGCCGTGAGTATATTTTACATTTTGAAGTACAGGAAGTTGCTTCACCCATATATATCTGAAGTCACGATCGCTAAGTTCTAAACAATATTCATGTTGAAAACCATGACTCTTCTGCTCTGGTATTTGGCGATTTTATGTTTTTATAACTCTTAAGTTCTGCAAGCAGTGAACTACTATCTATAAATGAGAATAACAAGCCATCCATCTTTAGTCTGTATGAGTCAGTCAATCTACTTAGTTCTGGTAGTTCATTAAACAGACTTCAAATAACATATCGATTCCTGAGTCAATTTTGATGAGTTTGTGTTCCAGTGACAGAGATTCCGGTATCATTTTATACCGGAACCTCACCAACGAGAAGTCTATTAACTGAATTTTTCTTCTATGTGCATTATTATTGCTTCTCATTGACCTTTGTTACAGTCTGTAGTTAGAAATTCAGCTTTTTGTTCCACAATAGTTTAAGTGTTTAAAGTAGTTTGAAGTTTCCCCTTAAGGTTCTCTAGTTTATCTAACTCGTTGGCTGGCTCTTCCAGAAACGTTTTTTGACTCATTACAATCGATCTCGATGCCAAAGGTGGATATGCTATTTTTATACAAGGTCTTAATAGTACTCGTGTTGTAGCATGTTGCTTGGCTATGTTTGCATCTTCCATTCATTATATTGTATTTATTTGCTTACTGCTTAGCGAAATATTTCTTAACCCAAAATGTCATTTTATAGGAACGTGCAGGGAAAACTCAGTCACAGATATAAACAAAATATCTTTTACGTTGTTAAAACTAACTCACTTAAATGCTAATGTAGTATGGCAACTTGAACTGATTTACCTATGTACGAAGTTCTACGTTGTAGCTGACTGACTGACTGAATTCACCTAAAACAAATACTGATAGGATTCGTTACTCGAATAAGAAATATTCCAAATACCAACTGACGAAAGTAAATCGTTTAAAATAGCATGTTTAGCTGAAATGGTTGTCGTACAGACAACGTAAACCAACGTAAAATAACACGGTTTGATTACCGAAGTCATCTTCGCTTACTCTTTAGTTTTCAAAATATCTTGGAACTCAAGTTGGAGGTATTTTGAGTTATTTAACTTTTATTGTTATACTTTTGTACTTCCATCCAGTTAACGTATGTGATAACATAAAAGAAAGCAATATATAGCAAAATAAGCCATTAGATTTTGGAAATATTGAATCTAGCTACATGCGTATCTACCATATCTGTACTACAGGGAGCAAAATTATGAATATTTTAAGTGAGTACCTACAATTTTAGGATGAAATGGGCTTTTAAAATGAGTCAAATTACAGTTGGTTCTCTTTTGTAGTAGATCGTAAGCAACTGGTAACAAAATGTACAGTTTTCGGGTGACTAGATTAAGGCGAAGTCATACGCGATAAAGCTGATACACCAAAACTTTGTAATCGAACGATTCTCTCAAAATTGCTCGTACATTTTATTTTGGAGTCACGCGCAGTTGACATTTCTATATCAACAGTTCCTGCGTTATGTAGTGTATGAGGATTGGTAAATTACTGTAACACTAGTTAATTTATAACTCTGATTTGATAGAAATCTAATTATTTGATCAATAGTTGACAGTTCAAGTACTATTATTATTCATATGTTTGATAGTTATGAACTCAAGGATCAGTATCAAACCGGCTTAGATATGTAGGTATACAAACTTAATTTCCACTATATATATATCCGTTCATTAATAATTTCTCCATGATGTTTTGTTTTTAAAAATGATTTGATTGCATACTAGTTTTTACTTTAACCTTTCTACATTGAAATATTTATATTGTCTAGAATAATGTCAGTCTTGTAGACACTAAATTATCATTCGCTTCTATTTATTTTACAGATACTATAAGCATTTTATGCTGCATTTATTCTCAAACTAGTTTTATTTTACAACGTGCTCTGTATATTCGCATCATGGTTAGTTTATATTCTGATTTTGCCTGACATCGTGTAGATAAATTTTATGTTATTATTTAGTCGTCAAGGTAAAGTACGACTACAAAAGTGGTATAGCTCTTATACAGAAAAAGAAAAGAAGAAGTATTTACGCGAAATTATTTCTCTTGTCTTTGCAAGGAAACCAAAAATGTGTTCATTTCTGGAATGGCAAGACCTTAAAATTGTGTACAGAAGGTGTGTGTGTGTGCGTATAAATTGATATTACTACACATTCTCTAACAGGTATGCTAGTCTGTATTTCGTGTGCGCCATCGATCAAACAGATAATGAACTGATCACATTAGAGATTATTCATCGTTACGTGGAAATTTTAGATAAATATTTTGGAAATGTAACTTGTGTTTGACAAAATTATATTTTTAAGGTCTGTGAATTGGACATAATCTTCCATTTTGAAAAAGCATATTTTGTGTTGGATGAATATTTACTAGCTGGTGAAGTGCAAGAGACAGGAGCCAAAGAAATTCTTTCTGTGATTGATGCACAAGATATAATACAAGAAGTATGTCTTTTCAATTACTTCCATTTGTTTCCTTTTTCAGGATGAAGTCCCACAAAAACTTTTCGAAGATCAAAGTCTCAATTGACATCAGAACTTTATTTAGAATACCAGATTATTTAGGTTTTATGTTTACTTTACCCCATGGAATTGCCAGATGTTATTACTTTTCCATTATCTTGATATTAAAACTGTTTCTTTTTTTTTAATTTGAAAATTATCCATAATTATCTACAATCAAAATATACAGTGAGATAACAAGTAACTGACTTGACGATGTGTCGAAATAACTATCACTATTTTTCATCTTGAATAGAACAAAAACAAGAATTTGAACGGGATAGCATGGATTTGTTTCATTTCATTGTGTTCTAGTCTTGGACACAAGAAATCAAGGTGACTAGTAAACAGCCAAACTTTGGTCTTTATAAGCTCGCCAACGTTATCACTTTCAGGCGTCAACAACCTGATTTATTTGTACAAAAGGAGATGATCGTGACAAGCATTTTTCATTACAGCACAAATTTTTATTCAATTTTTTCTTCTATTTGACTGTATCATTATGCTTCTTTATTATGACTGTCTGTTAAATTAATAAACTTATTTTAATTAATTGGATTGTAAGGATTTCAGTCTTGTTATTATCATCAACGAAACCACTTTTTTCTACCCCTTTGATCTTTTGTTACTGTCATTGTTATAAAGTGTTATTTCAAATAAGATATATATTTATGATATCTTATTTAGTGTATAAGCTTATTTCCATCTTTTTCATACTATACTGTTGTATGATCATAGCAACTTTTAAATAAACCAAAGGAAATAAAATGAATTCATGCTATTCTGATATGATTTTCTAGATTTTAAGAAACTTGATTCCCTGAGATAAAGAATAATTTATTTCACCGTCTAGTAGATATCGGTTATTTCTTTATGTAAATCTTTCGATAGATCCTAGTTTCGCAGATCGAATTCGATTGTTCGTCATAAAGTCGTAGCGAATTCTTCAGAAAATATGCTGTTCGTCTATATATTCACTATGTTTATCCATTATAGTTTGGCTAAATTCCACTTAATTTGATTCATGTAGTGTTTAGTTTTTTTAAGACAAAATATTCCTGAAAATAAATTTTCTGTGGTTGTAACTTAGAATGATTTCTGCCTAGAGAAGGGTTAATCCATAAATAATTAGCTTCGCTTTTGAATTTCAATTTCGTGTTTTTAACTTCATCTTCAATGACTTTTTCCAAGTTATTTTGATCTAAGGGATTTATCAGTGTTAATAATGAGGTGTATTTACATTTGTGTCATTCCCAAATTAGTTGTTTCATTAAACGGTAGTCCACTTTTTATTGCCTTTTGACTGTGATACATAAAAGTATAACGTGAAACTAAAAGGTTTTATCATTAGGATTGCCCGCCGTCAAGAAATTACTTCACTTTACAGAATGATTTATTTGATGAAAATGTTTACTGAATTACAATCCTGTGTGTTCCTGACGAATTAACTCTGCTGTATGTTAGCTTAGAATATAAGTTGTCTATCCATTTGCTGTGAATTTCCTTCACTGAATATGATCCATACATCTGATAAAGCTTGGTTTAATGCACTAAGAAATAAATATATATATATGGGGATGAAGTGGCGATTTACTGTATGGTAAAATGACTTAGTAAATATATTAACTTTGTTTTTTCCAGTATTTCTGTGGAGAAACACCACTGCAGTATTATCATTAAATAGTCACTTTGAAAATGAGGGAATGCCGAAACGATTAATGTTGAAAGACATCTAAGCATCTTATATATTCCTTTGTATTCGTAACTTAGTCACGTAAAATGCGTGATTACTAGTAACAGCTCGTTGCTGTGGTTATGAGTATGATGATTTTATGGTCTTCAAGAATGATCTGAACTGTTATTATTTTTGTTAGTTAATTTAAGATAAATTTCACTGAAGGTTTTGATTCAGTCAGTCACCTACAACGTAGAACTTCGTACGTAGGTACATAAGTTCACGTTGCCATTCCACATTAGAACAGAGATGCAACTGTCAGTGCAAATCCCATAGTGGTAGAGATAGTAGATGTTTTGACGGTTATCGAGTAGATTAGGGTTGGAAGGTGTTATTCAAGAAGTATAGTGGGACGGAACGAACTGTTTCACAGTACACTCGTCCTTTGGTTGGTAGACGGATATCTAGCCTACGCCATAAGTGACGCAAGTTGGCAAAAGCCAATCGAACCTTGTATATCCTCGCTGAAGTTTCGTCATACACCAAGCCATCAGCACTGATGAGATTCCCTAGATAAGTGAAGTGATCAACACGCCCCACTAGTTCAGGTGCCGATGCAAAACTATTCCGAAGCAACATTTTACATTTCGAGGGAGAAAACCGCTTCCTGAATATGCTTGCATTGTTGCCTAAGGTGTTCAGAAGGCTGCATTTTGTCAGTGTTTTCACCAAACACTAATATATCATCTGTATATTCAGGGTCCGCATGTGAATCTTCTGGTAGAAGATTAACTCCTGAAAGTCAGACACTTGGAGTAACGAATCCCGATGACAGTTCACCATAAGCTCTGACTTGGCCAGTAGTGTTCGAGTAGAGTGCTTGTGTATGGTTTCCTCGTACTCCTTTCGGTGACAGACATTGCCATAGAACCTCACGGTTTTCAGAGTCAAATGCCACTTTAAGTTCAAGGAAGACAACTAGGATGCCTATATGTGTGTCTGTGTTCTAGTATCTGTCGTATGGTGAATATATGGTCTATACACCCACGTCCAGGTCAGAAAGCAGCCTGGTTTTCTCTAGTCTGCTTTTCCCGAGCTCTAGTTAGGTGTCTAAGTATTGTCGAGGCTAATAATTTAGACAGTATATTAGTTAAACGGATCCCCTTGTGACTGTCACAATAGGCATTTCGTTCTTTCTTATGAATTGGGACAATCAGAGTTTGAAACCAGTCAGATGGAATTACGTCCAGTTCCCATATTCTACCTAAGATTTCAGTCAGTCTAACTGCTAAAGCTGAACCACCATCCTTAAAAATCTCTTGAGTTAGGGATGGGTTAACTGATTCAGGGTTCAATAAGTTTGCTCGATTTTAGAAGTTATCAACTGACATCAGAACAGGAATTCTTTCGATAGTAGTGAGTAATTCTAAGGAATTCTGAGTGCGTTAGCTCTGAAGGATTCCGACCTTACAACTTAGAGAAACTAGACATCTCCGGTCTCACTGTTGATACTTCTTACTAAATACACTGAAGCAGGTATTTAGAGCAGGATAGAAATTTTGTTGTCCAGATAACTTATTTTGCTATTATCAGACTCTACTTTTCTGTTTCATAACTACCCTAAGCAACAATGCAAGCATGTTCGGGATGTGATGTTGCTTCAAGATTGGCTTGTATCGGCACCTGAACAAGTGATAGGGAATGAAGCAGTTGAGCGTGTAGACCGCTTCACTTATCTAGGGAGTCTCATCATTGCTGATGGCCTGGTGTCTGACGAAATCTCAGCACGGATACAGAAGGCTCAACTGGCTTTTGCCAACCTGCGTCACTTATGGCGTTTGCTAACCAAAGGACGAATATGCTGCGCAGTAGTTCGCTCCCTCCTAATTCATGGCTGTGAAACACAGCCAGTCGGAGTAGATGGTTGCTTATTTTAGATCATAGGTGTGTCCGAAGCATTAATCAATCAATCAACAGCAACGTAGAACTTCGTACGTACGTACGTCAGTTCAAGTAGCCATACCACATTAGCACAGAGATGTAATTGTCAAATGAAATGTCACAATAGTACAGGTGGTAAAGGTGTTAGTAGTAATCGGAGAGATGAGCGTTCGAAGATATTATTCACGAAGTAGAATCTAGTGAAATAAAGTTAGAAAGAAGGGGAGGACAAAGAATACTAGAGAGGTTTTAGAAGCTTGGCACTCAGGTCAATCAGCAATCAACAAACACACTGACATTGACCCAATTTATCAACCAATCAGGAAAATCATAGGTGAAATAGGATCAAGAAACAGATCAAAAGGAGGATCCAATCAAAGGTTTAAGGTCAACAGCAAACAATCGAGATCGAGGTTAACAGAACAAGCTACAGGTCAAACGTGGAGAAATCTGAATACTTCACTTCCATCTGAGGTTTGTGTTGATGATGTTGTTCAGAAGAACAATAAAAGCTCCACAACCAGAACATCCAGCTCAGAGAACGAAACACCACCACATTCTACCTTGCTGTCGGTTGATCGGTTCAGACGCTACTTTTCATAAATGCTTATCTAACCAGAACCCTTCCAACTAAGACCATTTACGTAAGCTGAATTTAGACCAAAAGTTATGCTTTCCTCACATAATGCACGAATAAAAAGTACATTAAATCAAACTGACTGAAATTTCGTAAAGTGGCTATCACATATGGTAATTAATTACAAAATCGAACCAATAGTCTGTTTTCAAAAGACAAATTAATTCTCCATTTATTTGGATATATTAGTGTTTATATTGTTTTATCTCTCGTAAAACGTGTGTTGTAGTATAAAATTCACAAAGCACTTGTTTTAATATTGAACTAAGAGTTTACCTAACAAATTAAAACTCATTGCTTAGCAAATCCAAGCGTACTGTCGCTTACTCAATGAAGTAGTTATTTGGACTGCTTTATATTCTCTACGACCACGCACCATGATAAGTGTGGAAAGAGTAAATCAACAATATATAGGAAAATCAAATGCTTTATAGGAGGCCTTACATACTTTTACATAAATAGTTTAATTTTAACCCATAAACGTTATTCAAAACGTCACTGCCAACTTTAAACAGGAAAAAGCTATTTGGATATGCATTCAAAACTTTATCTTAGATTGACCATTTTTCGAAGCTTTATTACTCTTATTCCATCTAATTCACGATTGGTTCGTTAAAATGATTGATAGTTCGAGTTTTTACCATAACTATAAATATGTCAGCTGGGAGTATGACAACATTTTTGATATTCTTGTGTATTCGTTCTAAATCTTAGGTAATCACAGAAATAGTGAGGCTTCTATGTATCACTTAGTTTGTTCTGTATTATTTAACTGAAAAAGACCAATACTATTCAATATAGCGATTTATTCAGAAAAAGTATCTTTTTCTCTAAGTATATTATTCATAACAGAATATCATTGTCACTTACAACGACGAAATGTTGTAGTAAGTAATGAGGTAGATGTAGAGTAAATTTATCCTTCCGCTAAGCGTATTCATAGAATGTTCGTAAGAGGTATATGAGATTTTTCTGCTTTTAAGAATAACAACCAGCTGAATGAGAAGTGAAAGTTCATAGGACTTAAAAACTAGTTACAGTTACTTGTTTCCTATTTTAATGAAGATATGTGGATTAGGTTACTTGTGAGAAATGAATAATAATAAAACACTGGGTTGCAGAGACATAAAGAGGAATTGTGCAGTGTGCGTACGCATTTAACGATATGATTATACTATATTGAGAGAGCTGTTCAATTTTAAGCCAATTCGATCTGTAGTATCATCATCAGCGAATTCTTTCAATTGTTTTTGACCTAAATGTAAAGCAAATAGTCGAATTAACGGTTCACAGTTCGAATGTAATGCTAACGAGTATGGTGTTTCTTTACGATTATTTTCTATTTTCATGTTTGCACCACACCTGTATGAAAAAATAATCAAGAAAGGAAACGGTAACAAATAAGAGAGGGAATAGGAATTGCTGTAACTAACTCAACAAAACCAGTAAAAGCTACATCTACCTGAAAACTAAATAAGAAAATGAAAAGTTTGCTTCCAGTAAAACAAGTCATCATATGTATGTATATAAGGTCTGTAGTCACCAGTGGACTGACCCAACGAGTTACAATTCAATATTAGAACCTATGGAAATCCTCCTTGTAAACCACCTTTTGATAGAGAGTATCGACCATTGGATCTAAAACAGTGGGACTTGAGATTTTGTATTGATGAGGGATCGAAGAATTTTCACTTATAGGAAGTTCAGCTTTAAAACAATAGAAGTAACTAATTTTTTCATGCGTTCAGTAGTTTTTAAGCAATAATAATTATAAATGTCATCGGAGCGAATCGGAGTTTTTTAAGACTAACGTCTTGAACAAATCATGACACTTTCATATAGGAATAACCATCTTTAAGTCATAGAAATAGAGGCAAACAGATGAAACTATCTATCGATATTTTTAATCCATAAGTTAAGAGTAAATGAAGGAACTTTATTTTATATCAGTTCAATAAACAAATTGGGAATCTAAATTCTTCTAATTACTATCTTCGATGAAATGATTACTGGTGGCACTATGAGGACATTTGGATATCAGTAATGACCTAATTATTTTAGTTGTATGTGGTAAGAAGTTTGATCCTGGTGTACAAAGACGACGAATGAAGTATGTCTCAGATAAGTGGCTTCACATTGATCAGACTGATAATCTGACCTATTGAATGATAATACTCCATTACTATGTATGCTCTAATCTCAATTAAGTCATTGAGTGGAATGTATCACTCTTATCCGAATGTGAAGTAACTAACTGAACTTAATCGTATCATGCCACATCTCTTCGTCTTAATCTATATCATTTGAAATGAGTTAATTAGGATATTCACATTGGTTGGTTAGTTGAACAAAAAAAAACTAGCTTCAAAATTTTATGCACAATTGGCTTACTTTAATAACTCTTTGGTTAATTCTAATCCATCGATGCCACGTAGAACTGCTTCATGTAATGCTGTATTGCCTAATCTGCCAGTTCAGAAAAATAAATAGGTTAATAAACTAAGAATTATGTTTACAGTTAATGCTAGTGAATTCATTAAATGCAAACGTACTATCAATCTCATTTGAATGAACATTTATGGGCTCAAATGCTTGGTAAATAGAAAAATTTTCTATGAATAATTCCTGATAGTAATAATACCGTTTTGCTTGTGATTATGAAAAATGCAGTCGAATAATTTAATAATTATTTGAAAGAAAAAAGTTCAAGTAATTATAATAACTAAATTACTTGTGAAAATTGAAGATACGTCGATGAGCGGTTGATAGAGTACATAATGTTAACTAACAGAATTAGAAAACTATTCCACTCACAAGTTAATGTAATAGTAGTTACATGAAGATAATATATTTAAATTACATAAAAATTTGATAAATAATTTGGAAAGTTTTATTTAAGTCAAGCGTATGGCTTATATTAATGAAGAATAGAGAACCTAATGAGCTTTAACTACTATTCCCTCAACCAGACCGGATGTTATTTAGTGATACGATAACGGACTGATTCAGAGCTCTATAAAACTAGCTCTACAAGAACAGGTGAGTTGATGCACACTAGTTATTGATCTTAATTACCACTGATCAATCTTAGCGTTGAATATAATTATTAAAAATAATTTATGATAAAGTCTACTCTAGCAGGTAACTGTTAATGGTCGAAGTAACAATGAACATGTTCCAGAAGCAATAATCAACAATATCACAATACATATAGTGTTTAGGTTAGGATGCTTTCTACAGTAAACATTATTGACAGCCATTGTGACTTCTTCATCTACTTACTGTATGGGGTGAGTGCAATAAAAGAGACTGAACAAACCAAATAACAAACTTGAAAATCAAACAGATATTGCTTTAATATAAGAATAAAAATACGATTTTGAAAAAAAGTGTTTTCCTTCTGGAAAGCCGAAGGGTTACGACTAAAGAGAAGGTAGACAACCATCAGTTATGTACGACCAACTTTGTATCACCTTTTTTTTAAATAAAAAATATCGGTCATAGTACCGGTCAGATGTAGAGTATTTCCTTCTTCATAAGTTTTAATCTGAACCTAAACATAATTCATAGTATTGAACCATAAAACAATGCTATTGTCGCCCTTATCATTCATCTTTATTGTTTTACATGCAATGAAAAACCATGTTCATGTAACGTTTATAGAATATACACACCAACAGTGAGTGTCCTGGAACGTTGTTTCGGATTTATTATCGCCGTAACCTCAGAAAAACTAGTAGCTTTTGTTAGTATTAGTTTTCAGTGAAATATCACTTTTCTCATACTCAACATGAAATTTATGCATTAGAGACATATCAATCAAATATTATAAAGTCAACCGTAAGATTTACTTATTTCACAGCAATATATTTGACTATCTTATTGACAAACCATTTAATCAGACACTAATTATTGCGATATTTTCAGGCACAGTTTTGGAGGTTTTGTTTTTACACATTTGAACTCATCAATCAATCATTGGTAGACCCCCATTAGAAACCTGGAAGCACTGAAAGACGGCCGTTTCGTCCTGGTATGGGACTCATCAGCAGTGCTCATCCATAAAGTCGAATGAAAGGTGATAATTCAGAAAAAAAAGAAATATGGTGACAAAAGAGCATGCTAATATTAAAATAGATTAAGAGGAATGAGTGATCTCCAGGTGAGAATAAATTATTTTTGTCAACATACAATAACGCTGTAAAATAAAAATACATATTTACACACTTTATTTAGTGACTAATCAAAAGTTGATAATTCAAGTCTATGCCATTTTTTTAGCATTATTCATTCTGTTTTTAATCGGTTAATAATTATGACATATATTATATGTCTCTGAGGGTAAGAATATAAAAATCAAATTGTAGGCATAGTAAAACGAATTCACGGGAGTACTTTTATATGAATAATGAATAGCAGCCACCACCAGCAGCATCAGCAGCTTTATCGATCACTTATAGTATAGAAATATAGTGAACAGTAATCTGAACTTTAGACAAACAAGCAACGAGTGTATACAGACACACAATTTAATAAATGATGTCAAAATGAAAATATTTGTAGCTAATCGAAAAGTGTATATTGTAATGACTAACGTTTTCAATGGAAGTAGTGTTGTGAGATAGCATATGCATATTTATACTGACATGAAATTTATCAAGTGATATGTTGAGATTATTAGAAGCTGAAAAAGTCATTATCCTGGCAATCAGACTAACCTCAACCATTCAATCTGTTTGTTTATGACATTAACTTGTCATGAGCAATCCATTGGATATTAGTTGTTAACTTTGATTAGCTGTGAAAGAACTCGATTATTCTCTATAAATACTCTCAAAACAAGTGGATAATATTATTGTAATATTACGAAATCTAGATGTTCTTGAAGAGATGATTTAATGGTGAGCAATGAACTAATTTATTGGCAACCAATCATCTCACTGCCTGAGATATATTTTTATCCAATTAAGTAAGATAGTGGCATTGGTTTATTAAATGCAGAACAGATTATTTCCATTAGAAGTTACTTAGCAATATTGGTTGACTCATTATTATTTCTTTGCTTCTTTAAAGCTGGTTTCTACCAGGCAAAACACGTTCAATTCATGAAGTTATTTGAATAAGCCACAGCTGTAATTGTGGTGGTGTTTTGTTCTCTGAGCTGGATGTTTCGGTTGTGGAGCTTTTATTGTTCTTCTGAACAACATCATCAACACAAACCTCAGATGGAAGTGAAGTATTCAGATTTCTCCACGTTTGACCTGTAGCTTGTTCTGTTAACCTCGATCTCGATTGTTTGCTGTTGACCTTAAGCCTGTCGTTGTTTGCACCTTTGATTGTGTCCTCCTTTTGATCTATTTCTTGATCCTATGTCACCTGTTTTTTCTGATTGGTTGATAAATTGAATCAATATCGATGTGTTTGTTGATTGTTGATTGAGCTGAGTGCCAAGCTTTTAAAACTTCTCTAGTATTCTTTGTCCTCCCCCTACCCAGTACTTCCACATTGTCCCAATCAAATGTATGTCGGTGTGTATTGATATAAGCGAAGCGTTGTCGTGGCGTTTGACTGCTAATTGGTGTTCACGTAAACGAAGCTGAAGAGGCCGTCCACTTTGTCCTATGTAGTGTTTTTCACAATCCGAGCAATTTACTTTGTAGGTGATATTTGGTTTTTCTTCCTTTGTCATCTTGTCCTTTGGTCTACATAGGATTGATTGAAGTGCTTCTGTTGGTTTGTGTGCCACACCTATTCTAAATGGCTTCAGTAGTCCTGCTGTATGCTTCGATATGTCTACAGCTGTAATATTATTTAAGTAGGCCGAAAAGTAGCAAACTGATTAAAATATCCCTTTAGAAATATAAAGATGGCCAATCTTCTTCAGGAAAAAAACGGTTATTTTGTAAGTATACCCTTAGATTACATTTAAAGATGAGAAGAATAGAACATATTAATGCATTGCAACAAACTGACACAAAATACACACAAATTAATTAGCTTACGATGTTCCGGTAGCATTAACCTGTGCACCATTTTCTTTTAGTACAGATATAGCTTCAACAAAACCATGACGTACAGCACAAATTAATGGTGTTTCTTTAGCAGCATTAATACAATTTGGATTTGCACCCTTTTTTTTAGTAAATGAAAACAAATGATGATAAACCAATAGGTTAGATAATTCAGTTAACAAGAATGTAAAATGATATATTGTATGTAACAATTATATGTATAAACCCATGACGTTAACCATTAAATAACATCATATAAAGGAATAACGCAAGTCTATCAGCCTATATAGAAAGTCAAATGAACAGCTTATTTTATGTTCAAACAATTGTTAAATTATAAACAATAATATAAAATACAAAATACATTACACATTTAATTTATTGATTATCATAATCAGATGGAATATTGGTCAAACACAAAAATTCCAAGATAATAGATTTTGGTGTAAGTTTAATTCAATTTCTTAGATTAAATGAAACAAACGAGGTTCTATTTAATGCCCGATATAACATAAGAGTAATATTATTCCAATATAATAAAGTCGTTATTAATGAAAACATATGAAACTTCTACTTGTTTCATTTCTGTAAAATTTAAACTATAAAAAAACTAATCTCACAAGGTTATTTAAAACCTGTATAACATCTAAAGAACAGTGTGAGTATCCAGTTTTAAAATAAAAATGCTAACAATAATTTACAAATTTACACTGTTAAATCAATTGTTGATAAAACAAACAAATAAACTTGACAATAAACTAATAATCTTTATTTCTAAAACTATCAGATCTAATATTGTGTTTTAGTTTCTGAGAAAAGTATAACTGTTGAAATTGAACATTGAAAACCTTTGGTGAATGATTCAATTTGATTAGTTTATAAAATTCGGACTATAATTCGTTTCCATGCCGGTGGTTGAACTCTTTTAATGATAAAATGGAAAATAGTTTTCGAAATTTTATTGTATGATTTTGATGATCTAATAAAATCGCGCTTTGATTAAAATATAACAACGATAATATTTTAAATGAATTTTTGCTTGTATAAAGATTTGATATGGTGAGTAACTTCTTGATTGGAAAGTGAGGGATTTACGAAACCAGATCATCCATTTGTCTTTACCATTTAATTACATTCATTTTTCTAATAAGAGTATTTTGTACACAAGCATGTTCTTTTATTACACAGAAGTAATACTAGTATTCAGTTATCTCACCTTTTGGGAGCTTAATCTCATGATCTAGAATCGTGAGTATTTATCATTCAGTCACACAGCATTACAACATTATCAATCGATCAAGGCATTGCATTCATCTTTATTTAATAATCTCCGAACATTTTTCATCAGAAATAATAGAGTTACAATTAATAACTGGCCTGGTGACTGACGATATCTCAGCACGGATACAGAAAGCTCGATTGGTTTTTGCAAACTTCCGTCATTTATGGCGTAGGCGAAATGTCTGTTTGATAACCAAAAGTTGAGTGTAATCTGCAGCAGTTTGCTCCATTCTCCTATATGGATGTGAAACATGGCCGGTAAGAGTAGAAGATATTCGTAGGTTACTATTATTAGATCACAGACGTCTAAAAAGCATTGCTGGTGTATCGTGGGACACCGAGTAAGCAATGCTGCCATTAGGAAGCGAGTATACAAGGTAGGGATGGCAAATCAATTGATGAAGTATTTAAACTTCATCAGTTGATGTGGTTATGACATGTGTTTCGAATGCCTAACCACCGACTGCCTCGACGAGTGACGTTTCGCGGTGTAGGAGTAGGTTGGAAGAAAGGTAGGGGCAGCCAGACCAAAACATAGCACAAATCCATGAAGTCACTGACAAGTGGATTGAGTCATGTTGGCAGGTGTAGGCTACGTGGTTGGAGTCCGCGAGACGAAAGTCACTGATGGTTAGAGACCTTGAACAACATGGCTCAAAACCGTTTGCAATGGCGCAGGTGCATCCACACGTTGTATTCTCTGAACTTCTAGTCTTAAGAATTCGTCATCATCTCTATCTTTCTCTGTCTAAAGTTATCTCAGTAGATTATACTCCTTCAATAACAACCTCGAGTCCTAATCTTCTCCGTTAGCAGTAATTCTTCCACTATCTCTAACACTATCGGATTTGAATTGACAATTGTGTCTCTGTGCTAATGTGGTATGGCAACATGAACTGCTGTACTAACGTACGAAGTTCTACGTTGTAACTGACTGACTGACTGACAATTCGTAACGAGGTAAAATGCCGAAATGGTACTCTTTAAGCCAATTGAAGTTAACTACGTAATTACTCTTTTCGAATATTACGAATGACATACAAAGTATGAACGGAATTTTTGTATCTTTCACCTAAACGGGTAAAAATGATTTGTGTAAGCTTGAAAATAGAATTATTTAAGTTGAAAACGTGAAACAAAGGATATAGCGTTTGTGACGTCTTATTTTTTAGGCTTAATGGTGTGGATAAACACAGCTGAATAGTTTCATACAAAGACAAGGCAGTTGTTTAGTGTCTTGCTAACTTTAACCGGTAGTCTAGTTAAAGTTTATCCGTGTTGTAAACAACATTTAAGTTGGAGAATCTCCACACACCTCTTCTTTTAAGAATGCGACATTGTTATACATAACGAATAATCAGTAGATAACTATTTACTATAAAGTTAGATTTTGAGTAAACTGTAAGCTACACATAATTTGCTACAAAAATGGACCAAAAGTAAATATAAATAACTGGATCATTTTTTTCAAAAAAAGTGTATATCATTTTTAGACAGGATGATAAAAATAACGGTCAAGTTGATTAATTTCGTAAACATATGATACAGTCCATTTATCAACTACGATCGCGTTGTTTGTGATCTTTATCCATTTAAAGATAATTTCTATTGATATCGATTTTTATTAATTACCTACTGATCGACTTACAACCGAAACTAAGAATGTTGTTTTAGTATGTCTGATAGTTACTCTACATTAGCTTCATTCCAATAGATTTTTGGTAAGCGACATAATTGGATAGAATAAATAATGATAAGCATGAACGAAAAAGTGTTTATATTTAAATAAGTAATCATAATATTTTTTTAATTTTTATGACATTATAATATGTACTTTAAACATATCCTGTACAAACAAATTTATTAGCGATTTTGTAAGCTTATGAATCGGTGATTAGAACAAGGAATTTTCAATCATTAGATAACATGTTCGAATGCGGCAAAATCTAATTTTGTCTTATCATCTGAATAACAAACAATATAATCAGCTATCACATAAACAATGTTTGGCTCATAATTGAGCATATTTACAACAGTATTTGACAAATGAATGACACTTAGGTAATTTACTTTTTGGACTACAATAAAGAATCACCGTATGATTATTAGTAACTAACTTTGAAGAGTAATACTCGGAATCCTAGTGAGATGTTATGACCCGTAAAGTTCACCTATAGTGTTTATAAGACAAACATAATGAATGATAATCAATGGTAGTGGCACAGTATCGTGAATAATTAAATTTCGGCATTTAAAGCAGTGGTCTAGATGTAGTGTTCTCCGCAAACCTGGGGGTCCTGTTTTTGGCCCCTGGTTGGGTTGTGGACGCGTGCTACTAAGGAGTTCTTAACTTCGGATGAAACAGCTGTTCAGTAAATGTGGATGTTGGCATTGTAGAACAATAAATCCAATTCTAGATATTAGTGACAAGAAAAAAAGAATCCTACAATGAATGACCCATTTTATAACCGTTTGACTAGTGGTGATTTTAATATAGTAAATGAGGCTTTCACATTGGAAGTAATAAATCATGAAGTTATATTTCAAATGAGGAATATCAACACCAGGATGTATATACAATCGGCCAAGGAGTCCTGAATAGATTATAGCACACATCCTGTATTTTACTGTTAAACAGCATATAATGAACTTATAACTACAAACGTCTATTACATGCATTCATAAAAGAAGGTCATATACCAACAGGGAATGATTATTTCTCTCTTAAATATCAACGATAAAAAGATAAAAACCTTTTAATTGATAAACTGACATTTCTAAATTGTTACAGTGCGTTTATAAAATACCAATAAATCAAAATATTATGAATTCTGAAAAGAATATACATTGTTTCTTGTGTATTTTTGCTTACCTGTGAACATAAACCCGCACTTCAATTCAATATTGAACAAAGGTATTAGCTTAAAGATAATTGGTTATGTTTAAATGTATACCAATGTGAGTTTAATTGTCTTTTTTTTAGTGACTAAAATTAGTATTAACATTATAAGACATTATAAGAGTGTTGATGAACATCTACTAACATACACAATTTACCACCCATAAATGTTTACATAAATTTAATTTTTCATTGGTAAAAATTAAAACTTAAGTATCTCTACATCATCAATTTCAATTGTAAAAACCATATTTTTTTTAATGTCATAAGTTGTGAATTATTAATGACAAATTGAAAATTTCATTAAAAATTGTTTTACTGATTACATTAAATTAAGTTGAACAGATATTAAATAATATAAAAATATTAGAACACTTACTTCATTGAGAAGTCGTTTAACTTCATGAATATCGATTTTCGGTTGACTTAACGTACTGAATAAATTAAGATCTGAAGTCTATGAACAGAGGAGAATTACAAGAAATATTAAGCAGTTAACTATTTGCGAAAAATAGAAAACTTGTGGAAAAAAGTAATGAAATGCAATAAATATTTTTTTGCATTGCAACCGTTTATCAACCAGAGATAAATGTCAGCATTTTATTAGTAATTGATCTTTTTTAATAGAAATCAGTGATCTGTTTGTAGCCACTTCATCAGTTCATAGCTGCCAAAAACCAAAACAGTAAATGAAGTTAACAAGCAGCTTGAATTATAATTGAGTTTACCCTAGTGCATTGTTGAGAGTACCAGGGTCACTGGTAAATTATTCTTTGATGAAGCTTTCTTTACTCATTAGTGCTAAATCGACTATTCAAGAGTATAAACTAAAAATTTAGTGATAAAGTGGGAAAATTTGAGGACTTTTAAAATAGTAAACTGTAAAATATGAAATGTGATTCTGAAAACAATATACTAAAGTATATAATGAGAGTTAAGTAATCAGAAAAAAATTATTTTTAAACCATTGAATTCGCTGAGTTATAAGAACACAATCGATAAAAATGTAAACACCGATTGATTGAACATGCATTTAGCTCCATAGATGTAATTTCATTATTTTTGTCAATTATTTAGTATTTTTGTTAATCACATTGTCATAATTACTACAAAGTAAAATAAGACTAATTTTTAATTTGTAGAATTTATTTAACTAGTCTACAGTATTGTCAAATGAATTTCATAATGAACACCATGAATAAAAGATTTAAATATATCATTATTATTTTATATGGAAGGTACCTTGACTGAAACCGTGATGTTTGGATGACAAGAAGATTATATTCTTATTTGTCAAACTAACGCACTAAATCAATTTAATATACAGTGAAACAGTTTACTTCAAATAATAAAATATTTTGCTAGTTTTAAAATCACAACCGATTCTATAACAATTCACAGAACCCATTTACATTTAAGTAAATCTACCACCATGTGTGTGTGTGTGTGTCTGTTATTGTAACATATTTGAAAAAAGGTAACGTTCAAAATATCTGGATGTTATAATATCTATGAAGTGCTGTTGGATGTAGGAGAAAAGTTTGTAATTATGCGTGCTTTAGCTTTGTGAAGAATTTGAGATATTATTTTATTAGCTGATTACATAGAAAAACAACAACAATGCAGATGATTATGATATGATATAGTATGGAATAGTAGGACTTCAGTAAAAAAGACTAAAATATAAGAAAAGAAAACCACGAGTTATTCTTGAAAAGCCAACTGAAGCTTAAAGATGCCTGAAAAAAAACATTTAGCCAATGAACGTTGTCGATAGTCTGTGCATCAGATGAAGTTTGGTTGTAGAACAAGAAATATTAGTTCCGTTGAGTGTTTTGTTTTCAGGAAAACTATTCGTAATGTTGTACAACTGCAAATATATACTGGTATTTTAGGGTGAAAATTAAAGATATGATTGTTGTTAACAATGATTTCATGAATTTAGTAACAGAGAAGGAAAGATAAAAATCAAAACAAACTGTTAACCAAAGGTGAATGGAACTGCTGTGGACAATGAGATTGAATTAAGCTGTATTGTTTTATATTTTAATGGATATCTATTTATTTACAGGTTTAACTGACTGATCCAATGATCGAAGAATTCGGAGTAATAAATATACTACGCCAATTAGACAATTCATAACTTTAAGAAAATATTTCAACTTTTTTTAAAAATCTTGGATAACCTTTTTCAATATCAGACAGCTTTTCATGGTATTAACGAAAAAGAAAAAAAAGAATGGTCTAGTTTAAAATTCTCGTTAACAAATTGAGTAATGCAACAAAATTAACATCCTAATCAAAGCTAACTTAAAATGAAGTATATATTTAATTATTTTATATTTATTGATATAAAAGAAAGAGTCATTAACTAATGAATTATTGAGTAAATAATTACGAAGATAACTATCATGTAAGAAATTGTTAAAAAATTGTAGGAAAAATAAAAATAAACACAACCTACTGATAATTTGGAATTTCTTAGTAGAGCAACACCAACTTCACCATATTGTGCATTAGGATTAGATTGCATAATCGGTGATTTATCATTTGATTTTGCTTTTAAAGGGCTTATAGATTTAATAGGAGATTGTGTCATTTGTCTAGATACATTATCGTCATCATGGTTATCATCATCTCCCCATTCAATTGAATTAGTTTTACTTTTATTGTGATGGTCATCCACTGGATAATTAGGAAAATTAAATGAAAAGAAAGATGCATCGTTTTGGCAATCTTTAAAGTATAACAAATTGTAGTCAAATACTTTTTCAATGTGCACGATTATATGAAATTTTAGTTAGTTAGTTAGTTAGCCAGTCGGCCGTACAAAAAAGAAGTAGATTTTGCCAGAAATGTACATCTATTCAAAGTTGCCGAAATGTCTCAGCACAGAGAAATGAAATTAACACAAAACTTGGAGAAACAATAAAAAATAATATCAAAGTCTATGATAATGAAAATAGTTTAAAACAAGAGAAAGAATTTTCACAATTAAATGCTTAGAATAGTATTGATAATTAACGCTGAGAACAATATAACAAATGAATATATCTAAGTCCTCGAGGAGGATGTTGAAGCATCTCACCAAAGGTCTTTAACAACTGATCCAAGTAAACGCATTGAATTCAACAAGGAAGTCAGTGCTTTCCTACATAGCTGAGTCCAACAATAAATGACTTCATGAATTGATCTCAAATTAAAGTTTGCAAATTAGCTTTCTTATGCGAGTCAGTATTGTACTTCAAGTAAAGCATTCGATGATAGTGTAAAAGTTAAGCTAGATTAAAATTATTCAGCTGGAGCAAAAGAATCTAGTTGTTGCACAGAAGATATGATGACAAAAACTTACAGTAAATCAACTAGCACGTTATATACATTATAGTAACATTGGGAAATTCTTCCTAATTAGGTAATTTTTAAACAAATTTTATTTTGACTACTCAATCATTTTCTATGAACTTTTAAAGTTCTGAAAATTAAGTCTTTTTTTGAGGTATAAAGATTATTTATTGATACAACGCAAAGATGCCCACAAATAAAATGACTTAACTGTCAGTTAAGTAATTACGAATAGTGCGAACTTTCTATCGCTTTCTCACCACTTACATACAGAATATATATGATCGTGACTAATAATATATAAACTTACTTTTACGCGATGTAGAAGATGATCGGTTACTATCATTATCAGGTATACCTCGTCGATTCGGGTTGGGTCGGAAAGACTCATAATGATCATCTGTTGTAGGAAAAAAATTGGTAAACTGCTTGCTATGTGATTTACTGTCAATCGGTTTCTGATCTAAATCATAACCGTATTTACTATCTGTTACGTCACAGGAGTTGTGTTTAGTTTGATCAACGAATTTATTGGGTTGAGGAGTCACATCATCATTAGGATTATCGTAGTAATTTAAATCCAAAGGAGTCTTATTTGAAACAGTTCTATTTAGTGTCATAGTTGTATTGTTTTTGTTATTCGGTAGTGAATAGATTAAAGTAATTTTTGCCAGATTGGGTGCCGCTTCACATAGGTCTGCAGACAAAAGCTTGATAAAAAAATCATCGAAATTAATGATACTACTGATAGGAAAGAAACAAAAAGGCAATATGCATAGTTGAGAACTAACGCCACAACTAAATGACACATATTTGTAAAACCTATGTTATGAATAATATGTATGATGATGGTTTAAAAAATGGAGGGCTGTTGCAGAATTCCGGATGCTTTGGAAATCACAAAACGACCAATGTCAGCTAACCCCTGAAATCCAGGAAGAATTGAAAGCTGGTTATCCCTAGAGTGGAACTCAGGAGTGTGCAATCAGGACCACCTGGAGGATCGGACCCAAGACGTCTGGGTTTCGTGGCGAGTGATTAACTTTAAATAATTGGTGTTCACTGGTTTAAATCTGAGACTGCAATCATTTCGTGATATCAGTCGATGTTCAATAAACTTCAGAAACCCTCTATTTCGGAAATCACCACGTACTCACTAGTGACTAATTTCATGAAACAATTCTAGTTCTTGTCAATATCTGTGACTTGTAAAGCCCAGATGAGTCAGGAGTGAGGCAGTTATTCCCTACTTCAAATGATAATTTCAAGCTTTAGCCTATCTATGCCTTAGCTCATCTGCAAGTCACTTTATTCTTTTTAAAAGGCACTTGATTGGTTTGTATTTCTGTCACATTCAAATGATTTCATTAGGCCCCTGGTGTTCGTTAACACAAATATTTTAGAATATTATCGATCACTGAGGTGTAAATAAATATGAGTAAAGAGATATTTATCATCGTGTTGGTTACTAAAAATTTCAATCATGGAACCGTGAGGTGGGTAAAAAAAGTATTATCTTCATTTTCTATCGCCCACTCTACAATATAACACAAATATTCTGCTGCACATATATTTAATTAGAAATTTAACATAATCTTATAACCCAGAAAAAATTCAAATCTTTGCAAGAAATAATTCATCAAAGCGCTATTGAAATCTGCAATGGAAATTGTAGGCTATTATTTGTTAGAAACAATTCAACGAGTAGCTAAAGAAAATTTTTGTTCTATGATACCAACACTGAATAATGAAATAAATAAATAAATGACTAATATCATTTCCCTCATAGAAATTCATTTATAGGAGACTCAAATGTACAGAAAAATGAACAAAGTACAATATGCCGTCGGTTAAACAGTATTTTAGTTTAAGCAAAAGATTATCAATTACGCAATACAAGCAACATCAATTACCAATAGTAATTTATTATCATTTCGTTCATTATTCTATTTACCACTTAAATTATAAAGCCATACATTTGCTTTTTTTTTACATACAACAGAGCATTCTTTAAATATTTCACAAAATAGAACAATTGAGCAGTATCATATCAGTAATTCACATTGAATTCTTTAATTTATAAAACCGAATAAACAATGAAATTCGGATTGACGCTAATTCTTGCCTTAGTTTTTAGATGATGTAACTATTACCGAATGGATTTTAAAAGTGTGGTATACTAGATGTTCTTTTCGTTATCAGAAAATATTTAACTGGCTTAATTATTATATGCTTCGTAATCGATAAGCCTAAGTATAGTTCACATGTTCCCAACAGAAGAATCACGACATTAGAAAAAATATCTAATTACTTCGTATAATTCAGACTCATCACACAAATGATTATGTTATAAAAATATCATATTACAACACAATAGAATTTATAAATCAAAATGCTTTCATGACCAGGTCATGAAGTCGAATAAATGATATATTAGTTAAATGTTATTTATGAATCATGAGAGAAACAATAGGAAATGATGATACAACAGTTAGCTTACAACTAGGGTCATACAAATATATATCATGAAATAACTGATCGATAAATGTGCAAAAATATATAAACTGATTTCTTTCAAATTAGTCTTTTATATTTTCCTCATCATAACAAATCTTTTAATAGTAAAAGAGTCTTTTTTTTTAAACAAGAAAGTGGTCCAAAGTATCCATCAGTCTAAGAAGTTTTCAAACCAAAAGTAAATTGCTAACTAGCACTGAGTTAAGAAGCGTAATAAGTTTGTATAAGTTGCAATCTATGTGTTAAGATTCTACCAATAATTTGCGTAGAAATTGTGACTTACAAGAACTTTGTTACCACAAAAGTAATTAATTGCAATATTTGGCTCTTATTTTTATAAACTCGATATTACCATCTATAGTATTTTTTTCTTGGAAACAATATCTAATTTGAGGCAAACATAATCTGACTTGAAATGATCACACCCTATTATTGGGAAAAAATGAACTCCCTATATTAAAAGATGAATGGCAGTGAGATAGTTCATGTCAATCAATTGTTTTTCTATTAAAACAATCTATGTTGACGGCGAAATTTCGAATCAAAATTTATTCAACTAAAAGAGAAAAGTTTAAATTTAGATGTTTTTTTTTCAATAATACTACTTTTGACTCATAACATGGTAGTAGCAGTAGTGCATAAGTTTAGTTATTTGGTTAATTTATTAATTTAAAGTCGATATGATTATTTCCAAAATCGTCAGAATGAATGATTCAATTTGAAATGGTTTTGGGATCTTCCGTTGATATTTTGATTGAAATTTGATAAGTCCCGGCATATGTGCATCTTGTGCGAGTTAGCTCGACACGGTTATTATGAATTAAGTTAATGTAGAATGGAAGGGATGTAGCTAGTAGTGTAAATTAGGACGCACTTTTAGTCCCAAATAGTACTCGATGGCTCGATGTCAAAATATTTACTACGGGATAAGCCGAAAACTATTTCCAATTGAATTAAAACTCATATTCGTTGTATGAATGAGTGGCTATTTGGACTGAATAGACAAGTGTATAGAGCCAAAGAAACATACTGGATTAGAGTTTGGAAATGGAAATGTATAGGTAGGTATACTGAGCTGATAGCTCCAAAGTAGAAGAAAGCGAGCATCTTCGGTTTAACTGCTAACTGGATACCATATATCCGATACATCATCATGATTATTCAACTGATAGATGCTATATTTTAAGATATACTCAAAGGTTACTCCACGCATCAATGAAGTTGAAAATGGAGAGGTGCTTTAAAATAAAGTCTGATTTACTAGTATATTTCCAAAAAAGTTTCCAAAGTCAAAATGTCTGGATCTTATTTCAGACTTTCACAGCTCTGAAGAGTTCCAGTACTTTTGATTTGAGAAAGAGTACACTACCATGTTGTATCAAAGTCAGCTGAAAATGGAACTCAAACGCGACATACTGACGCTCATTTTAATTGTGACACGAAAACCAAAAAAGCTACTATTAAATCTTACACAAAAATCTCAACTAATAATTTGAAAACAGTTATGGCAACGAAAATGACCAATTATGATGTTTTGTTTAAGCGAATATGTTGAAAGCATGTTATCAACGGTAAAGACAAACAGTTATATTGGGACAACAGTTGAAGTAGATAGTACACGAGGAAGAGTTATTTGAATGATTTAAGTTAAGAACGTGTTTGCCAAGTCTATCTAATTCCCCTTTTTTATATAATTTCTCCATTGTAGTTGTTCAAATAACAATATTTTCTTCACATATATATATATATATATATATATATATATATATATATATATATATATATATATATAGAAAATTCATTATTTCATGAAGTCATTAACTACTGGCCTCATGCTTGTGAGATATAAATTACTAAATAGAGTTCACACAATAGTCGTAATCTAATTTTGATGATGTTAGGTATTATAGGTCGAAATCGGTAGCATTGGGGCAATTATATACTAACAATATTTTCTGCTGAAACTTCAATTTACTGCTATTCCATACTTAATAGTTTCACGGATCATTTGTTTCTCATCAAATTATATTTACAGTTCAGATGAAATGATAATTTCCCCATACTCTGCCATATATCCAATTCATTCTCTTTAATATTGTGCTCTTATAAACTATGTAATCAAAGATGAATATATATATATATATATATATATATATATATATATATATATATATATATATATATATATGGAATAGCAGTATTCTATATTACCAATGACTGTTAAGCTGATTAGTTCCAACTAAGCAGTAATCACCAGATGTACAGTTGGCATATAGGGATGAAAACGATAATCTTTTATAAGCACAAACAATAATATGGACCATTACCGACAGAAAATGATTTTATGCTAAATGATTCAGTCGACTATCAACATTATTTTTAGTAAAAGATTGTGTGAAACTTCTTTTTTCGCTGTAAAAACAAATTCTATAACTAAGATATATTGCTTATGAAACACATGACTATAAGAGAATTTGTTTTATTTATCAGCTTTTGATTGCATTCAAACTTTTAGATGAAAGAAATCAATTTCACGTGATCTACAAATACCATATCGAGTAAACGTTACGCAGTGGAAGATTATGACAAAAGTCACAACAGCAATAGGTATATTGATTTGAAGTTTCATTTTAGGATGCAATATTTGAAAATGAAAAACACTGAAAAATCATACTCACAATAAGAAAATTTTTATTTCAACAAGAAGAGCACATATAAATATATACACATGCGAATTAATAGTCGCGTAAAACAGTTGACGGTAACTCAGTAGCTTATTTTAAAGTAGTTCATTTATAACTAATAACTAACTAGTCAGTAAAGATTATTCATTCATAAATAGCACAATCGAAATCTTATCACATGAATATAAATAGAATAAAAAACAATCAGATGGCGATTTTAAACATCGACAATTTCTTTGAAGCAATTCAATGATGAGTAGAAAGGAATGGGACGACTGGAAAAAAAGAATAATTTACAAGCAAACCATACAGATCAAATGAGAGGAATGAACTGTGTTATTTACGAAGAACTAAAACACCCATTATGTATGCTATTCATAACTCACATGAATGCATAAACATATACCAAGTGAAAGTAGAAAGACGAGGATGATGATATTTGAAATAATCAAAAACATTCAGGGCAGCTATATGTATTCGTATGGTATTTTTCAACAGTTTGGGAATGAAATCTCAAAAAAAGAATTTTACACAGTTCGATTAAATTGTAATGAAACATTCCGTTGTGAGTTTCAAAGTGATTCATTATCTCAATCATCGATAAATAAATAAATGAATAATTTAGAATACGATTTGCTTTACTTTATAACTACATAGTATAACTGACTATGAAGGCATTATCATTATTTCACCTATTCAGATATTGTTTTAAATAAGTGACAGCAGAACAATTTTATTTGAAATCAAAAAACAAAATTTCATTGCATGATTGAGTATGAACAATCAATGTAGCTACTTATATGTCTATTGTAATATCACTTCAATAATGGTTAGTAGAATAATCTCAATAACCGTGAAAATCAGCTTATTGAAATAAAAACTTACTAAATAATGGATGACATATTATATTGTAAATAAGTATTATTTGATTAAAAGTACATGTAATCAAGGTGAACATACTTTGCCAAATCTAGGTTGACCAATTGACGCACGAAATTCTGAATTATTATTTGTGTATAATTTTAAATGTGCAAATATATGGTCTAATTGTTTTCTCCAAAAACCTGTTGAATAAAATTTTATAAAAAATATATTGATAAAAAGTATAATATCTATAATTATGAGTAATAGAAAATTATCGAAATAAATTTCACATTTGTCGCACAGCGGTTTTTTTTCTTCTTATGATCAAACTATTAGAATGTATGGAATCCGACGAAAGATCATTTGGATATTTCTCAGAGTGTACATCTTCATTTATTATAAAAGTATTCTTTAAATCAACAGGAAATATATCAGTTGTATCGCCATGATTTTTGAATGTGATTCCGTATTTAATTGTTTGAGCATGTATCCCTTCAGTGCAACAATAAACAGTCACTGGGATTTATTGAACAAATTTTCACTGAAAAAGAGATCTGATTTAACTACTGTTATGAAAATTGGAAGAATTTTAGAGTTTTTTATTTTAACTGTGACTTGAAAAATAGGAATATGATATAAATAAGAATAAATCGAAAGATAGATGGAACCAAAAACTGAGTTATAGCTTGAGCCTGACAATTGTGACAAAAAAACGGAAAAATGATCCCTTTATTACTAATAGGCATTCCTTAGACATAAGAGTGATAGATATAACAAGCTACATAAGGTTCTATTTGTACCAGACTCAGATTTCAGCAAATGAAGACAAAGTCCATACCTAGTTTGTGACTTTCTCTTGAAAAAAGGCATATATTAGCTCTATGAAGAGTACTCACTGTTAATTTTATTATTGTCATGATCAAAGATCAACTCACTACATTAAATGGAGTATACACTATTCAAAATAAAAAGCTCACCTCTTCCAGGACTTATTGCAGTAAGTGTAGGTGTTCTGTCTCTCAGTTGAACATCACCTGGTGAACGATTTTGTGGTGATTGATTTTGACGTCGTAAGTCTGCTGAACTTGGATAGAATAACCCATAAGTTTGTGTAGAAGCATTTGCAACTACAGGTTGTGAATACTTGTGTTGTGAAACTGATTTTTCTGATTGATTTCCGACAGTCTCAAATTCATGCTGACCTACAATTAAGTAATTTTAAAATCACTATACTGAGTGCATTTAGAAATCATAGAAATAAAAATAAAATCCTAACATACGTATTTGAACGCAGAAAAATAACGGGTAAATACACGTTATCTTAATACACGGCTCAGTTTAAGAGTTCATTTATATTCTACTGCACTACAATACTTAAAAATATCAAGATTCGTAGCACATACTGCATCTTCAATTACTAAGCTAAAACCTGTCGGTCAAGTACTTCCATCATCATGGAAAAACTATCACGAATTAACTAAATGATTAAAATCGAAAATTCATTTTACGGATATATATTAAAAATTGTAGTCAAAAAAATTTCTGTAAATTCTATCAGAATATCTGATCCACTTACAATGAAGCTTGCTAGCAAAACGTTTATGGTGGTCCAGTTTTAGCAGCTACATTGACTGAAATCTTAGGTAGAATCTGGGAACTGCACACAATCCCATCCGACAGGTTTCAATCCCTGATTGTCCCCGTTTATAAGAAAAGACAAAAGCCCTCTTGTGACAATCACAGGGGAATAAGTCTAACTAAAATAGTTTCTAAAATATTGGCCTCAATAATACTTCGACGCTTAACGAAAACTCGTGAAGAGCAGACTAGAGAGAACCAGGCTGGTTTTCGACCTGGATGTGATTGTATAGACCACATTTTCACACTATGACAGGTCCTGGAACACAGACACACATTTAGACGTCCGACAACAGTCGTGTTCCTGGACCTAAAAGCGGCTTTGGCCCAGTGGATCGTGAGGTTCTGTGGCAGTGTCTGTCATTGAAAGGTGTACCAAAGAAGTACATTAACCTTATACAAGCACTCCACTCGAACACTACAGGTCGAGTGAGAGATTATGGCGAACTGTCACGGGAATTCTTTACTTCAAGTGGTGTCCGTCAGGGATGTCCACTCTCTCCATCCTTGTTTAACTTTTTCGTTGATATGCTTTTAGAGTTAACATTAAGCTCGTCAGATTTTTCAGGGGTTGACCTTCTACCAGGAAAGTCACTTACTGATCTAGAATATGCCGATGACATAGTTCTATTCGGTGAAGACGCTGAAAAAATGCAGAGTCTTCTGACTACCCTAAGCAACAATGCAAGTATGTTTGAGATGCGGTTTTCCTCCTCGAAATGCAAAATGCTGCTTCAAGATTGGGTTGCATCAGCACCTGAACTAGTGATAGGGAGTGAAGTAGTCGAGCACGTTGACCACTTCACTTATCTATGGAGTCTCATCAGTACTGATGGCCTGTTGAATTAAGAAATCTCAGCTTGGCTACAGAAGTCTCGATTAGCTTTTGCTAATCCTCGTCGACTAGGGCAAAGGCTAGATCAGTCAGTTGCAGCGTAGAACTACATACGTAAGTACATCAATTCAGGTTGCCATACCACTTCAGTACAGAGACGCAACTGTCAGTTCAAATCCAGAAGTGATAGCGATAACAGAAGTATTAGTAGTAATGGAGAAGATTGTAGTTCGAAGATATGATTCGAGAAGTATAATTCAGTGACATGAATTTAGAAGGAGAAAGATAGAGGTTTTGAGGAATTCAGAAGGTTAGAATTAGAGAGAACACAAAGAGTGGATGCACCTGCGACATTGCAATCGATTTTGAGCCATGTCGTTCAAGGTCTCTAACCATCGGTGACTTTCGTCTCGCAGACCCCAACCAGGTAGCCTATATCTCCCAACATGACTCAGTCCATTTCTCACTGAATTCATGGATTTCTGCCATGTTTCGGTTTTGCCGCCCCTAGCTTTCTTCCAACCTACTCCTACACCACAAAACATAGTTCGTCGAGGCAGTCGGTGGTTAGGCATACGCAACACATGTCCCAACCACCTCAACTGATGAAGTTTCACTACTTCATCTATTGATCTGCCATCCTTCTAGGTAAGGGACCTTGAATGACATGGCTCAGAATCGATTGCAATGTCGCAGGTGCATCCACTCTTTGTGTTCTCTCTAATTCTAACCTTCTGAATTCCTCAAAACCTCTATCTTTCTCCTTCTAAATTTATGTCACTGAATTATACTTCTCGAATCATATCTTCGAACTATAATCTTCTCCATTACTACTAATACTTCTGTTATCGCTATCACTTCTGGATTTGAACTGACAGTTGCGTCTCTGTACTGAAGTGGTATGGCAACCTGAATTGATGTACTTACGTACGAAGTTCTGTGTTGTATCTGTCTGTTTGTCCTTCTGGGTCATCACGATAGGCAAGCCCGACCACCTCGTCAAGATAGCAGCTTCGGTCGGGTTTCAAAAGAAAAGTGTTCTCACACACAAGATAAGAATATTATAACTCTGCATGTATATCAAAGCTAACAATATTTCAGTTCTGCAACCTTTGTTATACCTTATTTTATTCGGTGTTTCAATTATTGATTAGACTTGATTAATCAAGGCGGAACAGAAGTGTATACTAACCATAAAAATGTATAAATAAAAAATTCACTAGTATGTTATTACAATCATTGGGCAATTTATGAAAATATTTCGTGATAGTTCGATTTTATTGATAATATAGGCTCATCAAAATCGTTGGCATTATCAATTAGATGACACTTCGTATAATACTGTCATAGTGGTCAATAACAGAATACTGTTACCACGTCCGTTATTTTAAAGTATCTAGTCGTTCTCGCCTATGAATACTTTGGTACGTTTTACAGTGGAGTGAGTTCGTCATACTCTTGAACTGATCTCATATAGCCATTGGATTGAAGCTAAATGAGAGGGCCAGTAATATAATAAACAAACTGAGATGTTTAACAAAAACCAAATGGAAAACCGACAGGACTTTTAGAAGTCATCCGAAAAAACAAGTTCTGTATGTCCTTCTAATATGTCAAAATCAAATCGATATTACCAGAAAATAAGTACATTACATTAGTTATACATATATTTATCCTGGGCCTCCAACATTTATTTTTTGTGTAAAGTAATAATCTTAGGAGGAAAATTAAATTAGAAGGTAAATTAATTTTTTATGACTTATATAATACAGATCAGATTATTGCAAAAAACAAGCGTTAAAACGTTGGTTATAAATATAAATCAGTTTACTTACTTGATGCATTGCTCATCGGAAACCATCCAGTACAACGTGGAGGAGGAAGCACGTTTAATCCACAATAAGAACAATAATTTGCTTCTTTGGGATTTGGTAAATCGCATTTCATGCAATGAATAAAACCATCTCGTAGGGTAATTTGATTTTGATAACCATTTGAAGGGTTATGCAAACCAACAGATAATGTGTCTCGAATCGAATCGGTAGAACTCATGTTGCTTGTCTGTCTATTACCAATATTATGATCTGAGGATCTCAGTTCACCACCATTTAATGATTGTGGATAATGCTTTGGTACTTCTGAACCACACCAATCACAATATCGAGCATCAAGATTATTTTCACGATGGCAATAAGGACAAGAAGAAAAACGTACACTTTTGCAGACTTCTGGATAAGGTAGCGGAGGACGAGAATCATATGTAGGCTCGAAACGTGAAAGAATGACATTAGTTGCTCCTGTTGGTAATCTGGATTCACAAATTATACAACTTTTTGCATCAGTAGGATTAATTGTTTTACATGTTGTACACAAACGAGATTCTTTAGGATATTGTCCATACTTCTAAGTATTAATTTTTGTAAACAGAAAAACAAATATAAAATGCTAAATTACAATCCAGACTGCATTGAAGATGTTTCATGGTTTAGTTTGTGCTATTGATAAACTATAAAATGGGTTTTTAAAACTAAATGTATCAAATTAATGACAGCGTTTAAAGTAGAGGCGATCATCGAAGAAGAATTAAAACACAAGTTAAGTAATAATTCGTATAGTTAATGATAATTATTCGTGCCAAGACAGATTCGGTCGATTTGCGTAAAAAGAAATACACATACGTACTATCATTAGTAAAATAATTAAACTAATCAACTAAATGGTCAGATAAGCCGGTAAAGATAGTTTTCTTAAGATTTACAGTTCTTTGGTATGGGGTATTTCAGGACGACGTTTATTTAACAAAATGTCACGGGTTATAGTCATTCACCGAGAAGTATTCGATTATCCATTTTCAGGTGAAGTATTAAACCTAGAATATTAATATAGAGAAACCACAGACCCGCTTGCATGGCTAGTATCAGCGATTATTGAATATTTACTTATGTGTAAGCAATAGATACATCGACGAAGATTTGTTTCAAACTTTACATGATTTAGGATATTAAAAAAAGACCTAATAGGAAGGCTTTAACCTTGATTAGCCCTACAGATATATTTTACATTAAGAATCATACTACTCATAAGTAACTAGATCTGAAAAACCAAAAAAAGTTCATTTGAACAAAAACATGCTTCATCATGTGACCTGAAGTCCATGTGTTCAAACACATAGAATGTATTAGTGAAAAATCTTCTGATGAGGAAATGAAGACTCATCACTGTTTTTGTGTCTTAATGGCTAAATAATTAATTGTGATGAAGGGAGGAATTCAATAGATGAATGATAATAGATTTCTGAAAATAGTATATGCAGTCTCTAAAGAACAAGCTAGAGAAACACAGGTGTTGAACCTTGTTCTGCATTCTAATTTACAAATTATCTTGTGATTAGTTCTACCATGTGCTTAAAATTATCATCAAAACGATCACTGAATATGCTGCACTGAATTGCAAAATTAGTCCTGTTTACTGTGTACACATGAAACGCAGTAACTGCTTTATAGTACATTTTCAAGTCATTCACATAATTTTCTCAACTTAGTAAAAAGTATAAAGGGGTTTTGATTGATAAAGAAGCATAAAAATAGATAAATTCTAATGAATTAATGAAGCAAACATACTTGTATTTGTAGTGGGCTTTCACAAACTAAACAACTAGTTAAATTTAATGGTATATGCGCTTTACAATACGGGCACACACCAATATTCTCTAAAGCAGAAGAACCATATTTTGGAGATGATAGTATAGGTAGATTTATACCGCAATGAAAGCAAAAGTTTTGTTTTCTACTCACTGGTCTTGGATGATGACAGTTGGGGCATCTAAGTGAAATAAATAAAAATAATAATAATAGTAATAAAGATAATGAAGTTTATGTGAACCGATGAATCTCATAGGTTGAAATATGCAAAGTTTAAAAATATGTGTTCCTTGCATAATAAAGTAAACAAGCAGGAAACCTGTAATTCACTAGGATTTTTAGTTAATCATTGATATTTTTGGGAGAAATGCGAAAACATTAAAACCGAGAATGTCAAACAAAAAGAACTCTCATATAAAGTCCTCCAAACAAATTTTGGAATAGGTTAGTTTAAAATAGCCACAGTTCAATGACTCGATTGAACGAAGTCAATTATAACGCCACTTCAAGCTGTCGTGGCTTTCGAGACATTGATAATGACGATAATAATGACTTTAATCATTATTAGAAAATTTTGTTCTCAAAATTAGTTATGTAATATTGTAACAAATTTCTGTTTAAAATGGATTCAAATTTCGATTAATCAAAACACAAGTATTTTGAACAGTACCTATCAATCCATCTTATGTCAATAAATTTCTCTATCAGCTCAATATCAGTAAACACTTTCTCTACCAGTCATACATAAGATGCACGAGTTCGAATATAGTCGTCTGGTTTTTTTCGAAGAACAGACAAAGAGCAAAATATCCTAACAATTGAACTGTTTCTGTTTGAGCTTTTCAGTATTCAGCATCGAAATATTTCATAAGCTTTCTGTTATATAACATGATCATGTACATAGGTTCAAACACATCTAAAACTATAAGGTTAGTTACAGAAAGTAGCTAACACTTCTGAGTATGCCACTGTTACGATATACGATCTCTGAATAAAAAAGAAACGAATAACATCTGAGATTTTTCTACGCTATTATTGATGATAAGATAGAAACGTCATGGTTACTTCTGGAGTTACCTGGTGTAGTGTAAAGAGTTATTCAATGAGAATTCGATCTAACGGAACGAAATCTTGGTTATCCCGCGTGGCTCAAAGAGTTCCAAATGGTAGATTTTTCACAGTAAAATTTCGTCAAATTTTTCGAAAACACGTTTTTGTTTGGATTCGGACGATTGTATTAGTACAAATTAAGAAGACTTAAAATGCAATTTAATTGCAAAGTAGTAATGAAATCTCTAGTTTACCGAGTCTAGCTAAATCTAGCATTAACACTAATTTTAATGTCGAAAATTCAGTAGACGATTTATAGTTAGCCTACTAAGTTTATAATATTTATCTCTTTCAACAGTTTAATGTCGTCAAATATTGAACTTTAAACCTAAACCCAGCAGCGATTTAGAAACAGTTCATTAAGTTGATAACATAAAACACAAATGAATTCTTGGAAAGTATTCCATAACTTGAAAGCTTTATTTAATCTCAAGGAGGGGATCTTATGAAGAACTATGTTTTCAAACTTTTATGCTTCCCATCGTAAATTATCCTTACGAATAATAACAAATTAGAAACTTTTCCAGCAATATTGCGGATAGTGAATATGTTATTTATAAAACGAAGACATACCAAAAATAAGCTATATATATCGTATAGCATAACGCTAAGCTAGATTTAAAGAAAGCAATCACCATAAATCACTTTCTATTTCTTAATAACTAAGTTGAATGCAGTAAATTGTCTACCACTAAGTACTTATTGTTTGGACAAAAGTGTTTTGATTGAGTTTAATAGAGAAGCCTGAGAAATTGAATGTGAGGCAGAGAACAATTCTTGATGCTAGAGGATAGTCAAACAGTATCTTGACTTTTTCAAAGTTATAGATGCAAAGCATTAAATGTCAACTCAATGGCCTAAGGATTAGGCACTCAGTGTAAGATCTAGAAGGTCGTTGCTGCGATCTTCGGTAGGACCATGAATGTACACTGCTGAAGAGTTTCACATTAGGATGAAGTAGTTGTCCAATGCTTTCTGGTTTTAAATGGTTGTTTAACCGTGGTCAGTTGGTGATTTAAGCCACGAAATTGAGAGAAAATTTTAATAATTTATCGATTAATTTGAAAGCAAATAATTTAATACGAATTATATCATTAGAAAAATATTTCCATTATCATAAAATACTGTTAACATGGTTACAGCATCAAATAAACAAATAAAGTATGTTTATGTTGACTTGGTAACGAGTGTTATGTCATCTGAACTTTAAAAGATGTAGTTGGTGTATAAGTCTGAAAACAAAATTATTGACAGTCGGTGATAATGAACAGTTAACATTCATAACACCGCATAAAATATGCTGGATACAAAGAGAGAAGCTTTTTAACTGACCAATAATTTCATTTGTAATGACAAATAAATCATATTTCGTGCAATGTATAAACATCAAATTACGATAATTTATACTTAGTCATAGTAATGTAGTGTGAATAAACTATAATAACTGTGAACTGAATCAAAATTATAATGTTAATGAAAATGCTACGAATAATATAATAACTGATTGGTAGTCGGAATCCATGATTAGGTTTAGAATTGGTGATTTCTTTTTTTTCTAATCGTTTATATCACTGATATGTTTTAAAAGGGTTTGTAAAGAAAATGAAAGATGTTTATTCAAGACACAACGAGGTGTTCTTAAAATTGATTTTACACCAGTTTTCTATAATTTACCTTTAGAAATTTAGCTAGTACATCAACTATTAAAGGTGTGGCTTAATGTGTCTTGAACGATTCTTTAAAAAATAAATAAGTGAGTGGTTAATTTTTAAAATTTGTTGGTCTAGAAGAAAATTTAAAACAGTAAAATTACCACTATAGTCAAATAGTATGAACTATGTATCAGAATGCAAAAATCTTAGTGATGAATTATTTATCAGCCTCATCGCCTTTTAAAATTAAAATACTTACTCTTTTTTACGTTATATGATTATTAATTTGTTAAGTGTAGTAACCAAGTATAACAAGTAGACTAAACTAATAATAAATATGTTGGAACAGATTTACAGATTCATACAAAACCGAAACTATCAAAGCAAATAATCTTAGAAAAAAATACAAGAAAACAATCTTTTGGTATCATAGTCAGTCAGCAACAACGTGAGAACTTCATACGTACGTACATTAGTTCAAGTTGCCATACCGCGGTAGCACAAAGATCCAATTGTCGACTCAAACCTCATAGTGGTAGAGGTAGTAGAAGTATGAGCAATAATCAGTAAAAGATTAGGGTTTGAAGATGTTATTAGAGTAGTATAATCTAGTGAATCTAGTGAAGAGGAAGATAGATGGACTATGGCTTGTAGTAAATGCCATTTCATTTTATTTGAGATTGCTGTCTGAATGTACCTGCATCCCGGAAACGACTAACCGAAATACAGTTCTGACTATTGTGAAAAATGAAAACACTATGTAGAAACAAATCAAAAAACTAACCGTAAAATGTCAGTCTTCTGCTGAAGTTTATTAATCATATGCGATGAAAGATCAGGGTATTCATGAGTTAATGACGATTTTACTGGTCTATTCTGAAAAGAAAAGAGAATTTTAAAAAGATCAATACACTTTTACTAGAATAAAAGAAATTAATAATAGAAAACAATGAATTATGTACATTTTAATTTTTAATCTAATTGAATAAAAACAACTGATTTTATTTAATCCGAATTAATGAAGAGGATTCGGAAAATTTTAAATGTTTTTCACTGTGAATCTATAGCGATAGACAAATATTAGAAACCATGACAACTGAAACACTATTTAATTTTACCAGATCTGAACTTATGACTCATTTCATAAAAAATAATGATAACATTGATTTATTTCATGTCTTGGATTCTTTACTACTGTATCAAGTTTTTAGATTTAATTATACTTGTAAATAATAGTAACATTTTCGATAATTTGTGCAACTACTTTAAATGTTCAGATATGAAGCACATTTTTGGTGTGAAAGCTGATGATTTTACTCGCTTGGTTGAGTCGAGATAGGTATAGATAGAAACTTGTTAATAACTAAGCAAAAATCAAGCATTCTAATCACCGAACCACAGCTTGAAATTAAAAGTCTACCTAATCAGCTAAGATTACTGTTGGTGAAAAATTTTTGCAAAATCAAACTCAGATTTTGGATATGAGGAACAAAGTTACACTGATAAAATTTGCATAAATTCACAAAAATTAAAAAAAAAATTTGTTTTGAAAAAGTAAAAAATGTTATTGTTGAAACTCTAATCAAGCATTAAATTGTTTAAATTCTATAAAAAATTAAAAAAAATAAAGAAGGAAATAGTTTATGCTAAGCATTATTTCATTCAATCAATCAACTAGACAGTAAATGATCAGTAGTTTTATCAAGTTAATAAGTTACACCCTTGTTAAAAAAATTAAGAATTACTATCACTGATTTCCTGTTACATATAGTAGTCCATTAGAATATCACATGGAGCTGTATAGACTAAATTCAAAATGGACAAATACAACTCAATGGTTATCTACATCAAAGTTTCAGGTTAAAATATATCTTTAAGGTCACAATAAGTTGTTAAATAGTGTAATGACTTTTGTCAGTAATACTTAAACGGAGAATTAGGTTGTATTCAAAATTACTTGAAGGTTTAAGACACTGAACACTGCAAAACAATTTTACGAAACCAAAGTCATTGAGTAAACTTTCTGTTTCTGTATTTTTTACTGAAATGGATTCATATTTAACATGATTCATTTATCAAGTACAATTTTATGCACTTAACTCTGAACTACATTTTACTGCTGTAAATACTAGAGATGCTACTTTGACTGCTCAAACCAAAATGAATCAGAGTTCCAAACTTTCACTTACGGAAAGTTAAATGCTTTAAACACAGAATTACCACTGTTATTTGTTATATTTCAATTAGTTCAATTGGACGATATGATTTCTAACTAAATTTGTTAGTGCTGTAAAAGTTTAGCAATTAATAACTCTAATGAATAAGGAGATATTTTAATATTTTAAACAATCTACAAAAAAGTTAATCAATGATCATCTATATGATCGAGAGACTATGAATGTAAATAAATTGACAGAATTTACTTTATTTTTGATTTATGAAAGGAATTTTATTAAAAATAATTCAATGAAGAAATGATGCTTTATAATTATCCTATCGTCATAGTTCTACATTCATATTTAAAAGTTTTACAAGTGATCAAAAAATCAATACTGATATATAATTATTTTGAGTTTATTAACAGGAGGTACATTTATTCAAATTCAGTATCATTTAGAACAATAAATAATAACACTGATTGAAAAATAATCCAGCTGATTAGATCATTAAAACGGAGTACCAGTCTGTTAGTCATACATAATGTAGATATCTGGACACATGTGTACATCAGATCAAGTTGTTACACCTTAGTAGTACAGCGGTAGTAGTATCAGCAGTAACAGTTTTGCTTATGAAACTGAGTATTTGAGTATCAGAGAAAAAAATGAAAAATCCTAGAGGAATTTTAGGATAATTAGTTGGCTGGGATACAGGAAAATATTGTATGAAGTTCAGCTGAATGTAAAAATTATTTGTTTAAATTCTTATGATTTTAGATTGTATATTTCACATACAGCAAACTAAAAAAATTTGAAAGATAATTTTAAACGCTATTTTTAGATCAATTTAGTGTAAACTGTTAATAAAATAAATAATGCTACACAAAAAATTTATCTCTTTTAATCAATAAAAAATTATGTATTTTCCGGCATGGAATAAATAACTCCGTCATTTCAAAAACGCTCTAACAAACATTTACATTTTTACTACATTTTATGAACAATTAAAACTCTGCTTACTCTAATAAACTAAATGAAATTGATTCTTGAATTGATTGAACAGATATTTGTTTTTACAGATATTGTAAACAATAATAAACTGGTATTGGAAACTCATTCTAAAAATATCTATCAAACACTTGTATACACTTACGATACAATGGTATTATTCGATTATCATAGATTTAGATAATCCTTTTCAATATGTAAATCAAGTACAAAAGTTTCAAAAGGTATAAAGTTATAACAATATCTGGATAAACGTTTTGTACCGTATCATAATATGAAGCAATAATGAATACTGAATTATCAAATATGTAGATTCCTTGTAAATTTTTGTTAGAAATTTACGTTAGAGATAATATTGGGCTGAAAACACATCATCATCGTTCAAATCACATATTTAGTTGAAATTCCTTTTTTTGCTGTAATAAAATGTTTTTAACAAATTGCATACTATAATGGATTATTCTGGTAACAAGAATTCATTAGAACGCGATTCTATGTTTATAAAAATTGAAATACATTAAGACTTTCAGATTTGCGTAAGACCATGCTGTTTGAAATTCTTGCGCAGTAACAGTTTGCGTTTCATTAACCTCGAAGGCAAAGAACCATGTATTATGAAATATCTCTGTTTTTTTAAACAAACTAAGACAGTTTTACAAAGAAAATAATAAAAAGTGGGGAGAAATTCGAGTTGTGGTAGGATTAAAATTAGTGGAACTTAACTAACCAACCTGATGCTCGACTGAGCATAATTTATTTTAATTATTATACACGATCACAAATCTCATTGTCTACCTGGGGGATAAGGAAAACTATCTTACAATGAATAAACACCCAAAAATTTACTATTTCACCCGCATAAATACCTGATTGGTAACAGTTACCGGAAAACCAGAATAAAATCAAAAATAAATCAGTACAAGTTAAAGTTAATAAAAAGACAATAAAAGCAAAAATAACACAATTATAGTGTGAAAAAACACGTACATTATCCTGACTCTGTGCTGATAGTACAGGCTCACATTTCAAAATAACCTGGTTTTCTTGATCTAAAATAATGTCAATGGTAATAAATTATTTAGTATATTGAACGATAGAGAGAAAACGTTTCACACATGTAAATTTGACTAATATTTATTACCGATACAACACATAATTTGTTTTCGTATGCTGTTAAATAATATATACACATATATTTGCAAACTAAAGGGTTAGTTTTTTCGAAAGACTGATACCAGGTTTTTGGCATCATAACAACATTTTAAGGCGGTTAGAATTCAGTTATCTTTAATTTAGTTCAGGTTCAAGCAAATCTCCCTAATAAACAACCCGACAGATTAAACGCCAGCTATTTAGACACGTTTTTTTTGTTCACCTCATGTCAATTTGTAGTCTATTCAGCTGAATATCAACTATTTACTAATGAGACGCGATGATCTAGTTAGCTTAAATGTTGCTTAACTGTTACTCATTAGAAATGATCCGCTAATATCCTTAGGAAGATTATTTCATTCTTTTTCAAAAATTTTTAGTTTTACATTCAAGACTTGCGTTTTCTAACACTTGTATTCAGTGAACTGATAACACTTCACTAAAACCTAAGTTCTAGTATTATTTTGTTAGTTATCATATGTAGACAGATATCATGTCCTTTCTTTTTATAAATCTATTTCACCGGATTATGCTTCTCGAAGCATATCGTCGATCCTTAATCTTTACGATAACAGCTAATACTACTACAACCTCTACCACTATGGGATTCGAATTGACGATCCCATCTCTCTATGCTAATTTGGTGTAGTAACATGAACTGATGCTCGTATGTACGGTGTTCTGCGTTGTAATTGATGATGAGTTTTCTGTTCTATGTACTAAAAACATCTAACCAACAAATAAAAATTGTAAACTATGGTCTAATATATAAGAGATTCCTAAACAAGTGAATCAGTAGCATTCAAATTTCCAAGTTTAGTTAAGAAAAGATACCTTTAGTAGACTGCTTGAAGATGTGACTGCAATTTTTTTCTGAAGAAAATTTTCGGACGCCTTCACTACTTTTCTCCGATAGACGATGAATAGAATCATGAGTATCAGAACGATCAGCTTCTGACTGAAAACGTTTGAAATAAAATATTCAATTTACAAATAAACTTGAATAAATATATCCATGCCAAAAGGAATATTTTAATTTGTTCAGTTTTTAAATAAATTACAACTAGCATTTAGAAATATATTCTTTAACCTTCATTTGTTTTAGGGTAAAAATTCAATGGACAGGATATTATTTATTGTGATTCAAAGAAAGATAGCGTTACAGAAAAGAACTGATAACAAAATATCTCATACAATCTCTAAAAGAATGATACACGGAAACCGAGTGGTGTTTTTGAGCTGATTTGCGTTCATAATTATTTTTAGGTCATTAGTTAGATGCTAATAAACCCAATGTAGTATGACAATAAGTTAATATGAGCACACTTGGGACAATGTACGCTGGAATACGCTGTTTGGTTTATTTTCAAACAATCACTACTAGTTAGTCGACCTAGAAGACTCTAAAAAATCCTATTGTGGGGATTAAATATGCAGTCTTTTTACTATATCCCGACCGAAGCTGCTACCTTGACGTGGTGGTCGGGCTTGACTATCGTGATGACCCAACCGAGCTATACTGGCTGGAACACATGTTCCTGCAGGTCCTACCATGCCAGGCAGGTCGACTGGAGAACGATAAGACTAAAAGCAGCTACTCAAGGTCTGAGGGCGAAGTCCTACTGCTGACTGCAGAGGGGTGTGACAGCAGTAAGGTGTTTCCCTCGGACAACCAGCATCTGCAGCGATGCTGCCTTCTCACAAGGAAGGAAGGGTTAGAAAAGGTCGGCCCTAAAAATGTCACACCTCCCCTACCTAACGGATTTCCGTCTCCGGTGGTAAGGGTGCCCACTAAGGGCCTATAAGAACGGAGCTAATCCTCAAACAACGTTTCATAAAAAGGCCGTGCGTGACCGGCCTCAAGCAGTTGTCCCTTGGACTCTGCGGCCACGCACCAACACTAATCCATCTTCCTTTTCAGGTTCGTCAAGAAACAACCTTTCACGGTGTGGGCAGCCGGGAAGTGATAACCGCCTTCATACCCGTAACAGCACGCGAGACCAAATTGGTCAAAATCAAATCCTTCCAACACCCCCTAGTACCTCTCTTATCTCCACAACTATCTCTTCTCACATTCATTTATTACAGTGCACAGCTAATGCAAATGATGCGAGTTTGCGAAACGTCGTTCCTGGTCTCCTTAAACCCCGTTCCAAACTACATGTTGGAGCATTCAATGTACGGACATTGTGTCAAATAGGGCAACTGGAATCATTAGCTAGGACTTTAGAATCTCGTTCCATCGATGTGTGCTGCGTCTCGGAAACGCGCATACAGGATCCGAGTAGCATCACTCATTTGACCTCACCATGTCAAGATAAAGAAGCAGCTCGATTTACCCTTCGTGTATCCGGTAGCCCTGATGCTGCTTCTAGGGGCCTCGCCGGTGTAGGTATAGCATTGAGTCGTAGGGCAGAACAATCTCTACTTGACTGGATCCCTGTAGATAGTCGCTTGTGCGCCGTCCGACTCAACGGGACAGTAAGGACTCGGAAAGATAGGGACACTCGCCGTTGCCTCTTCGTCATATCAGCCTACGCCCCCACTGACTGCAGCCCAGATGATGTAAAAGATGAGTTTTACAGAAAGCTTTCGGACCTCCTCCAAAAAGTTAAGCCCTCTGATATAGTTATAATGGCTGGTGACTTCAATGCTCAAGTAGGTAGACTAAGTGAAAATGAACGACACCTAGGTGGATGTTATGGTGTCGCGGCTCAAAGAACAGACAATGGCGACCGTCTGTTGCAACTGTGCTCAGATAACCAACTATTTCTAGCAAACACTAATTTTAAGCATAAGGAAAAACATCTTTTGACCTGGCGACCCCCGAAGTCGTCTCAACGTTGGACACAACTAGATCATATCGCCATCAGCCACCGATGGAGGGGTTCGATAGAGGACTGTCGCTCGTTCTGGGGCACATGTTTAGATTCAGATCATGCCCTATTGCGAGCACGTATTTGTTTGAGGCTTGCTGGACGTAGGAAAGACGCCGTAAGGAAGCCACTTAGGGCTTTACTTGATGATAATCAAGCTAAGAAAATGTGTCAGGAGGAACTAGAAAAACAGTTAGGCGGCCATGCAAGTGATTCTCATCCGGAGGCAGGTTGGAATCATATCAAAAAGTCTGTGGAAACAGCAATGGTATCTGCTAGCAAGGTAAACCACAAGGCTAGGATGAAGCAGTGGATTTCAGTCGCATCCACCGAACTGATGGATGCTCGAAAACGCATCCCACCTGACTCTGAACATGATGAAGAGCGTAGTCAGCTTAGGCGCAGACTTATAAAAAGCCTACGTAACAACCGTGAACAGTGGTGGGTGGCGAAAGCAAAAGCGATGGAAAAGGCAGCGGCAATAAGCAACACTAGACAACTTTTCCGCCTTATCAAAGAAACCGGTATTAGGAACCCGAATGTGAGTGAGACTATCTCGGAAAAGGATGGGATTATTATCCATTCTCAATCTAGGAGGCTGGACCGATGGGCAGAACACTTTAGGGATCAGTTCAATTGGCCTTCAGCCACACTTCGGTTGCCCACAATCCCCAGTCATCCTGAATGGCAAATCGATTTAAGTCCTCCCAGTTTACATGAAGTTGAGAAAGCTATAGGAAATCTAAAGGGAGGTAGAGCGGCAGGTCCCGATAGGCTTACCCCTGAGATGTTTAAGGATGTTGGTCCAGTTTTAACGGTTAGACTGACCGAGATCCTAGGTAGAATCTGGGAAATGGACGTAGTCCCATCTGACTGGTCTCAGTCGCTAATTGTCCCAATCTACAAGAAAGGACAGAAGTCCTCTTGTGACAATCACAGGGGAATAAGTTTAACTAATATAGTTTCTAAATTGTTAGCCTCGATTATACTTAGACGTCTAACTAGAGCTCGTGAAGAGCAGAATCGAGAAAACCAGGCTGGTTTTCGACCTGGACGTGGTTGTATAGACCACATCTTCACACTACGACAGGTCCTGGAACACAGACACACATTTAGACGTCCGACGATAGTCGTGTTCCTGGACCTTAAGGCGGCATTCGACTCAGTGGATCGTGAGGTTCTGTGGCAGTGTCTGTCATTGAAAGGTGTACCAAAGAAGTACATAAACCTTATACAAGCACTCTACTCGAACACCACTGGTCGGGTGAGAGCATATGGCGAACTGTCATCTGAATTCTCTACATCAAGTGGTGTCCGTCAGGGATGTCCACTCTCTCCATTCTTGTTTAACTTTGTCGTAGACATCCTCTTAGAGTTAACATTAAGCTCGTCAGATTTTTCAGGGGTTGACCTTCTACCAGGAAAGTCGCTTACTGATCTAGAATATGCCGATGACATAGTTCTATTCGGTGAAGACGCTGAAAAAATGCAGAGTCTTCTGACTACCCTAAGCAACAATGCAAGTATGTTTGAGATGCGGTTTTCCTCCTCGAAATGCAAAATGCTGCTTCAAGATTGGGTTGCATCAGCACCTGAACTAGTGATAGGGAGTGAAGTAGTCGAGCACGTTGACCACTTCACTTATCTATGGAGTCTCATCAGTACTGATGGCCTGTTGAATTAAGAAATCTCGGCTCGGATACAGAAAGCTCGATTAGCTTTTGCCAACCTGTGTCACTTATGGCGTAGGCGTGATATCCGTTCGCTAACCAAAGGACGGGTGTACTGCGCAGCAGTTCGTTCCGTTCTCTTATATGGCTGTGAAACATGGCCGTTAAGAGTAGAAGATGTTCGTAGGTTACTAGTATTCGATCACAGATGTTTAAGAAGCATTGCTCGTATGTCGTGGGACAGCCGATAGCAGTCGTTAGGAAACGGGTACTAGGTAAGGATGGCAGATCAATAGATGAAGTGGTGGAACTTCATCAGTTGAGGTGGTTGGGACATGTGTTACGTATGACTAACCACCGACTGCCTCGACGAGCTATGTTTTGTGGTGTAGGAGTAGGTTGGAAGAAAGTAAGGGGCGGCCAGACTAAAACATGGCAGAAATCCATGAAGTCACTGACAAGTGGACTGAGTCATGTTGGTAGATGTAGACTACCTGGTTGGGGTCCGCGAGACGAAAGTCATCAATGGTTAGAGACCTTGAACGACATGGCTCAAAATCGTTTGCAATGGCGCAGGTGCATCCACTCTTTGAGCTCTCTCAAATCGTAATCTTCTGGATTAGCCAGCACCTCTACCTTTGTCTTTCTAACCTTATCTCACTGAATTAAATTTTTTGAATAATATCTTCTAACCCTAGTCTTCTTTATTAACATTAATACCTCTACTATCTTTATCACTATGGGATTTGATTTGACGTTTGCGTCTCTGTGCTAATAATGTGGTATGGCAACATGAACTTATGTACATACGTACGAAGTTCTACGTTGCAACTGACTGACTTTTTACTATATTCACGGGCTCCCGATTCATAAATTTGGTTGAGGAATAGGAACCTACATGGTAACTAACCTGTAAAACTGTAATCACGAATGCGAAAGTTCAAAAGAACAACGGTATAGTTTAAAAACTAATAGCACTATTTGTATACGAACGTGCCAAAAAGAAATTTTGATAACAAAAAATAACCAACAGTGAAGATTATTTTGGTCATTTCAACCAAAAAACGCAGCTTTTACATCATTATTGAGCCAAAAGTATCGAAAAAAAGATGAAAGAAAGATGATCTGGAGCGAGTGTTTCGTCCCAAAAAGGGACTCGTCAGTTTCATATACTTGAATCCTAATGTTGTTATTCACTCTTAGCCACTATCCATCTTTACTTAAGTTAAGATAAATGTCAATTAAAAACAAAAAGACCGATTTCTTTAGGAGAGATAAAAATGAAATATCAGTAGGTTCGCAGCGTCTAAAAAATAGCGTAGCTCGTACTTATTATCTTAACATGATAAAAATAATTAAGTAACAAATAACATGATTACCAGTTGTCTTTGACGTTTGGAATCGATAAACTTTAGTTCATTGAGAAAGGCATAATCATCCGTAGAGTTAGGTTTTTCTCTACCATGAGAACTTTTGACTTTAACCACATCGAACGTCTTTGTAACTACGCTGCTTTCATTGCCATTGTCCCTAATAAATATAATCGATAAATACAGGTTTAGTTTAAAGAAATAATGAAGAGTTAAAAAATATCAACACATAATTTTAGACATTTCGTAATAACTACTTAAAAAACTGGGAGTTGGTGTTTGGTATGGAATAACAAACCGAGAACGAAGGAAATCTGTATAGAAGTGGACGGTTTGGTCGCCTAATCTTACAGCTGTTTTCAGAATTAAACATACAGGAACATAAACTTATTGACCTGGGAGGTAGATTAGACATGTGCAACGATCTAAAAATGAACTTCTTCCAGATTATACACTAGGGGAAGAAATCAAATATACTTAAAAAGGGTTAATTTTCAGCATCTGGGATAGGATATCGATAAAAAATGAGTATTTCACATGATAATTTGAATCGTTTGAATCTATTATTAGCCCTTTGTTTGGCTACATTATTGTCGGATGATAATGTTGAAGGACGAAAAATGGATGAGCATAAATTCTTCGCTTGATTTCGGTGATAGTAGTGAAAAGCCAAAGACGAATTAGGTAGGATAAACTTATTTCAGGCTCTCATTCGCTTAAACAGAGAGCAAGATGATGAGTAGAGGTGAGCATGTCCGCTCAATTTATTAAAGTATGACCTGATAATTATAGTAAAACAGAAAAGTTAGTCGGAGGTATGCGACGAAGAGAGTAGATAATAAATATCGACCAGTACATGTCATACATTAAAACAATCAATATTATGGATATATGACTGGCAAGGTCAAGTGAATGTGTGGATAATATGTCAAAAAATTAGATCAGCTGGTCTGTCTAAAATCTAGGATTATCCACGTAAAAATGATATAGTACTAAGTGGGCACTTGTAATCAATTAAAATAAAGATTAATGCTAGGACTAAAGGAATACAGAGTAATATTATTTCATAAAAGTAAGCTATTAAGGTTCCGTTAATTAGGATGAAATTCATCTTCACTGAGAACTATTGTTATACCTGGTTTTTGATGTTGCTGAAGTTAGTTAGCTGTACTGTTAGTATTTAAATTAACTTACATTCAGATAAAACTATTAGCAGCTCAGGTATATTTGCTCAAAAAAGGGATATATATTATACTCCATGACGTGTGTGTTACAGTTTATTTCATAGAGCGTAACCAGGTTCATAAATTTTAAATAAATAATTGGTAATGTTACGGAGTGAAGGTAACAACATATCGTAGACTACAGCTCGAAAATAAGAACCACTGAAGTCCAATTAGGCAGCTGGTTGGTAATGTGTTCTGTGGAACCTAACTTCTGTGAATTCGATAGAATTGGGGTCTTAAGTGTTTTTTGTATAAGTATCAAACGAAGACGCAAAACGTTTGCTTTTAATAGCTGGTTTGTGGTGAAAATTGCATCTACACGGAGTGCTTTCAAAAAGAATATTATTAAACTTCCTTGCTTTTATGATAAACTTATTTGAAAAACAGCTGAAATGAAACTTACAAAGAAACAGCTACTGCTCGTAAGGTATGACACCCAGGTGGTAAAGTAAAAGGCTTCTGAAATTTATATGTTCCGCTATTTTGAAGTTCTTTCCTACTTTTCGCAACTGTCGGTCTATTTCCATTAATCGTAAAGTAAATAGCTACATCTGGCGTATCGCAAGTAAGATCCAAATATGTATTTGTATCCAGATATGATTTGAAAAGGCCTGAATCTGGGTTTCTCAAGGGGATAACAAGTGGGGCACGAACAGCTCCGGCTGACATGTTCTGTAACAAAAGTTTCAATATTACTCAATGAAAATCAATAATCTTGAGAACTAGAATTACTGCAGAAAATCTTTATTGAAAAACGAAAGTCAGACAAAATAAGGAGAAGTATCAAACTACAACCAGTGAGAAGATAAGCAGTCGGAAGTCCACATTTCACGGCAAATCCAACACCACTGACACCCACAGACTGAACAATGGATATGATTACAACCACCATGTTTTTCTGTAGGAGACTTGCAATTTGGGCAGTAGCGACATGTTTCATTGATATATTTGCGACTTTCGTCACCATCTACTCTTAAAATGAATGATCTCCACACAGGATTAGAATTTTCAGATGCATTCATGGAAACGTCGTGCTTTCCATCACAGAAACATTGAAGAGACACAGTACATGAAGATTCCGGACCTGATTCCATATAACTCCAGCCACAAGAAGAACAAAATAGTGACCCGCAGCCAGCAGGTGGAAGGCAACGATGCCAAGTGCCAGGGGATTTTACATTACGTTGGGAGTGTGTAATTTGCCAATCTACTCCACAAGATGGACAACATGCAGAGCCCTTTGAAAGGACATACCGTTTCGCTGATTGTTCTTTATAGCGTGTATAAAACTCAGAACCCAAAATTCGAAAATGATGGGGATCTGTAACAAATGAGTTAGGACAACCGCCAGGACAACCGAGAGTGTACCCAATGCTGTCACGAAACTGAAACAGGCCAGAGTTAAAATACTCTTCAGCGTACTTTTTGAAACATTCAATGCAAAGAGAATGGCCTTCCTCTTCACAAAGACATATTATCATTTCACTGTCTGAAGAAGTACATGCTGCACAACTTCTCTCTGTACAATTACGTTTTATATGCTTCAGGAAAACTGTTGGATCGTGAGAAGGCATTGTAGTACATGAAAAGCTTATTTTAGCTTCTGATGAATTACAATCAATAGAAGAACACTTTCCCCTACAGATTTGTGAGTCAATGTCTTGATAAACGGGAATAAATGCCGATTTGCAGAGGGAACAACTGAAGGTAATTAACGCAGGTCGAATAGATTCACATATATAGCAGTAAATAAAATGATGACCTTTAGGATGGCGCTCGAAGATATGAAGACGGAAGTCAGTTATGACATCATATTCCAGTAATCTAGAATCTTCCTGCATTATTTCATAGCCACAAGTTACTTTACGTGATAGAAAATGAGTATCTGAATTAAGTCCGAGATCCTGACAGATTCTTTGTTTCAAAAAAAGCACATTCCAATTAAGGTCTGCATCTATATTATGTTCTACATCATTATGAACAACAACTAGGAACATAGCTTATATTTCCCACGCATTGAAACACAATAACTAATGAGGTAAAACAAATGTCTGAAGTACATTTCAAAGTAAAGGAATTTTGTTTTATGTGCAGAACTTTACGAATTTATTTAATTTATTATAAAGCAAGTTTATATCATCAACCTAACTTATCTTGAATGTGTTAAAGACAAGAAACATTCATCTAAGCAGAAGGTTCAAATATATAATTACTCGGTTAAGCGACTTAGTTTCCGCAAGTTTCTTTTGTTTTTATCTTAGGGTTCACTCTTTATAGCCTCTGCATTTCTTTTATCTTACGAAATGAAGAAAGACAGAGTATGCTAGGCTAAATTTGTTTAGGAATAATCAGAATATCAACATTACACAAACTAATGGTTTCGAATCTGATAATATATAGTGACTCTCTTCAAAAGCCACTTTGCACACATTTGGATGCCGATCAGTTGAACATCACTGATTACAGTTCTCACAATTTCTTCGCTGAGATCTTAGTAGGTTAATGAACATGCTCTTGCGTTATGAACACATTTACAAAATTAAAATTTCACTCCAGTAAACGGTGCTCTACATATCTGTACCTGACTTTGTGAGTCATAACCTTAACATAATAACTTTTGTATATTTGAGAAGTCAAGTCCCTTTTTTCAATAATGCGTTTTGATTTTCACAGTGTGAATCTGATCCGGCCACAACGTTTCAGGATTTTCTGAGGCCGTATTGACACAGAAGCAAGCCCAGATGCAAAAGTCATTCATTTTTTTGACTTTAAAAAAAGCAAGTTGTTGTACATATGAGTTCATTACCAAAAAATGTCTTTCTTTGAGTGAGATAAATGTGTCGTGGCCTAAACTTTATACTGAAATTTCATTTTATTTCTCAGAACTAAAATGCGATTTGTGTAAATACTTCAGATGCAGGACCTCGTTTCAAAGTATGTGGCGTTTATTTAGTGCGTTTCTTATTGTTTTCCTGTCTGAATCGCAGGTACATGATAGACACAGTGTTGTAGGCTGTGCGTAATGTCATATATAACGTACTGGAACAAAGCTGATAAGTTTGGGGAGTGCATTATTCCAATATGTTTTTCATGACCTAATACGAAGAAATTGATTTTCGTTTTCTCGATTTCCGTTTTTTGGGTAAAACTCCAGACTTCGGTAATGTCCGATGAATGACAGTTAAAACCACTCGACTTAAATTAGGTAGTTGTAGATCTAACAAATATGGAGATCTGGTGATTGCTGACTCAGCGCGGCAGGGTTTCAGGACAACAGCAGCTATCCAATTATCCTACCGTAAAATCAGGGTGTTGCAGTATGAGGAATAACAACGAGAAAAATCTAATGCTAATGACATTTCAGATCTATGTAGATAAACAAGTTAACTAATTTGTAGTAAATATTATGTGAGAGGACAGAAGTGTAAGCAGAGAGGTTGAAGCAAAGATAATTGGCGAGACAAAATGTTTATAGTGTAAGGGAGAGTTTCAAGACATTTGTCAGGCACAGTTTGTCCAAGAAGGAGGCTAAAATCTGTTATTGAGAACGTGTTTGTCAAGTTTCATCTTGAAGCTATCCACTAAGGCTGGGACAGCATTCGATCAGAAACAGCGAATATGTAATTGTATGTGCAGTTTATTGGTAGACCTTGAGGTATATGATGGTAATGTTTTGACAAAAGTCTATTTTATGATGATTCGGCGTACTTAGTGGGTTTTATACCATTATCAGATCACTTGTAACTCACCTAAAATTAAAAGGAATAGTGAAAAGTATTTTAGCATATGTTCTAAAGTTAAATTCGCTTATCCTGTCACCAATTCACAAGCTTGCCTCCGAAGTCAATCCGATTTGGATATATCATTCTTGAGATTAGAACATGAAACGACGTTGCGAACTTTGAGGTGACCAGAGTACGTCTTAATGAGAGGTAAGTACAGCTTCGAGGTGATTACACCAATCTGTCACTTCAGAAAGTAAAGAGATTCGTTAGTCTTTCTCCTGTATACTGTTCAAGCTGGTGTCTAGGCTGTCCAGGACGCGACGATCTACTTATCATATGTGCAGAAAATAATGCCAGACGGTGGACTTAAGTAAACAAGTAATTAATCGGTGTCAGGAAAAGGAGGGGATTCAGGATGGTCGTCTGTAAAATTCCTGATTTTGAGATTCGCCAACTTGCGTGCATTTTATTTACCATCGCATGAAACTTAGTTTTCAAGGCAGTCTCCTTAGAACAAATAAGACATACACTTACACACCAAACCTAATATTCAAACTACTAAGATGTTAGTAGAATCGTCAGTGATTTAAAAAACAAGGATACAATGATCAGTTTATACATAAAGCGAAGAAAGCCTGAAGACGAAACCTTATTTTAGGAAGTAGACAGATCTCAACTTTGTGGTCCATTACCTTACACTTCCTCATATTATTCTAATACTCTGAGGCAAAAGTCTCAAGTACTCCGCTGCACTGAGATCACTACCGATTCGAAATGAGACTGGTGGACGTTTTCATTACCTAGTTGATCACCAGGAGGGAGACTAAGCAACCTTGCCTGACACCGCTCTTCACTTTGAACGAATACGTCAGCTGTCTTCCAAGCACGATTTTGTAGTTTAGTCCGTCATAAGTATTCCGTATTATTACGGAATATCTTCTCAGGCACGTATAGTGTCGAGTAAGCCTCCATAGTGCTATCTTCTCCAGACTATCAAATGCTTTCTCGTGGTAACTGAAGTTGACGCAAGGGTGATGAATCCCATTCGACCTATTGCTCCACAATTATCCGTAATGTTACAATGTGGTCGGTACACGATCGATCATTGATCTGGACGCTCAGCTTCTACGTAGTCCTAGTGTTGAGAGTAACACCTCTGTAGTTCTCTCACTGAGATCGCCTTTCTTTGGTATTTTGATCAGATATCCTTCTTTGCGGTCTGTTGGTACTTGTTCTTCATCCCAAATCTAGATGGAGAGAATGTGGAATATTTTTGCAGTTGCTGCCTCTGCTGGAATCTTATCTGGTCCCGCTCAGTGGTTCAGAGGTTGAGCGTTCACTAGCAAGCCTAAAGGTCCTTGATTAGATTTCTAACTTCACTTAGAGCCCCTTTGGGGCCACTACCGGTCTCGGTTAAGCGGGGAGGGTTGGGCATGGTGTTAGCGACATCATTCAGTACTAAACTAGCTCGCTAAGAAACTAACAAGAAAAAAACAATTCAAAAATGATCCTAACTAACACAATGCATGTATCGAATAAGGACTTAAACTCTGCTGACAATCAAAGAAAATTCAAAGTTTGAAAGTTTACGTAAATGTTGAGCGAACTAAATTGTCTAGGATTAGATAGATATTTTATACAAACAAGATGCATTTCATAAATCAATTAAGACCATAAACTCAGGAAATTAACAAAGACAAAAGTAGAATACACGAGATGCAGAGGAACAAAATTAGTTGTTGATAAGGAAACAGATTCAGATGAGGATTTTTGCTTTCGTAAAGTGCGTAGTAATGTAAGTGGAACCGCTCATAATATTTATATTCCCATATAAAGAAGCCACGATTTAACTGTTCACAATATAGGAGAATGAAGAATATCATGACTGAAACATAATCGAACCCAGTCTTCTAGAAAGTGAAGTTAAGAATAGTCTACGTGAGAACTACAGTATATTATACACTGCTTGAAACGGAGTATCTAAGATAAGAAGGAGAGCTAGAAAATTCGAGCGTAAAGTGAATACATGCGGGCTGAAATTAGATCATCTTCAAGTAGAAAAACACACATACCATTATGGAGCAAATTACAGGTGAAAAATCGATGTTCATAAAGTCAGTACAGAAACGGTACTAATAGAATAGGCAGAATGACACGAGACATGAATTAAGATATGAGTGATCATTCGGCATCAGTCTTGAAGGTTAAAGATGGAGTTTTTGTTAACTTTGAGCATCCAGTTGCGTTTTTGCGAAAACCCTAAAAAATAATCAAGAAAACCGAAAAGACTAAGTACTTATACAAATTTGTACCAAAAATAATTCAATATAAAAAGTGAGGACATAAAAGGACAAAATTTTCCTGATTAGAGGGTGTTCTAGGAAAACCAAGAATTTATGAAGTTAATGGTACTATAATTTAGTAAGCCGCAGAATGGATCTGCAATAAAATGAAATAAATGTTTTGTCGGACTGATATAGACTGCCAAAAATGTTCACTATTTTGACTTAAATACTGAAAAGATTTCTATAGGACAGCAAAATTATAAACTGCGATCTAAAGGAAGGATACTTACGATGCTTCTTTGATGACAGTCCATTTGTATGATTATGGAAAATGACCTATTAATACCCTTATAACACATGCATGAAGAATATTTCTTATCAAATGTTAAACTAGCGGGCGGAAAAATACGAAATAGTATGGTGAGTAATTAGATTTCGATCAGTGATTTTAAAAGTCAATTCGATGTATTAACAGAACACAAAACATCATATACATATATTACTTGCTGACAAGCTGGCGTAATAGGTGCCGGTACTTCTAGTAGGGTAGCAAAAATGACTATCTATTTATTGTAACTTCGTTGGGCAAAGCCAGCACTTGTTGGTTAAAAGTCGAGTTTGAAATAATGAGCAGTATAAACAGTAGTAATGGATGATGAATAATGGACAAGGTGTGAAAAAACTGAAAGTGACGTGGATGATAGTGCGTGAAACTGCTTAAGAATAACATTACAAAAACAATAAAATTTACTTTGCTTTAAACTGATGACTTTAGGACAAACATAGCAAAATTTATTGAAACAATTAAATAAAAACTTTCTAGTTTTTAGCCTAGTTTACAGACTGTCCAAAACAGTAAAGTTAATTGGAGTTGATTTAATTGATTACTTAATATAACCTGATCATATTCGTGATTGTACAAGAAAAAATTCTTCATTTTATCAATTATAAACAGTGACTGATCCACTAAATTTTTCGAATACAACTATGGACATAAGTAGTAAATAAATTTGAGGACTACGATAAACGAGCGAAAATACTTAAAAAAGAAATTGAACTGCTTTGTTCATATAGCAGAAATACAATATTTGTTCGTTTGCAACAAAAAACATGACACCTTGAAATGACTTACTTGTTTTGTCGGAAATGAGTATTGAAAAAGTTTTCTACATAAGCGCGCCTAAAATAAAAAAAACGTTAGGAGATTGCGTTAGCGATGATTCAGGAACAAATTTTGTTACACTGACAGTAATATACAAAGGTCGAATCACGAATAAACGTAACTCTGAAGGAATAGACAACAAAATGAGGGGAAGTAACACCACGAGAAAGACCGTATAGTGCTGCTGAAATATGTCTCAAAAACCGATCGTTTTTTAAACCTTAAACTGTCGAGTAACATTTTTAGCGTAAGGAAAATACAATTCTACGTATTTTAGCATAGAACAGCATTGTGGGAAAAGTGATTGTAATTGTGAATCTTAGATGATAAGAGATACAAATACTAGATGAATAATAATCTTTTTACGCTGATGTAACAGAGAATTAACTTCTCATACAAGTCAAGTACAGATGTAGAAACACAATTCTGCCAACTAAATATTTAATGCTGGTTGGTTTTATACCAGTCCTCAATTAGAAATTTAATATTTTAATGAATAATTTTGTGATTAATAGTGAAATTCGGAAACAGATTTTGAGTTGAATTTAGTTTACTTGAATTCACAATACCGCCATAAAAATTAAAAACCAATTAAACAAGATAAAAGAGTTCTTTTTCCATATTATTCAAAAAGAGATTAGGACAAAGAAATTCAGCTAGACCACACGTAAAATAGATGAACCCACAAGCTTGTACGTCGGCGATACAGAGCTAGTCTTATGGGGCAACAAATTCTTCATACTATTTTATATTTGCATCATCCTACTTTTCGTTTATAGTTATAGGGAATAGTCAAACGTAAGCCGATAAGGACGAATTCAATAACGCTTACGTTAATGAATATCACAAGTTAATATGGATCCTCATTTATCAATAAATACTGCAACGTACCACAGATTAAGTATTTATGGTATTATAGCTTTAGAATTAGTAAATCGAGGAACAATGCCTCTGAAAGGTGATTCCAGTGATTATCGGTTGGTTGAAAAAACATGTATTTCCTGTAACTTTATTGTCATCATATCATATTTGTTGTACTACGTTATTTTAATATGGTGAAACAATCGTAACCAGACGTAACAGTTTGGTAAGTAACTTTTTGATGTCGTTTACGAACTCATTAAAATTATTCGTTTATTATTAGAGTATCGTACTGAATTCTTCTATATCTTAGTAATAAGATATATGCTTATCTAGAAAGTAAAGGGTTTGGTACTCGGTTTTGATCTATACTCTTGTGTGAGGGACAAAGATAATGCTACTTTTCAAACAGCATTCACCAATATTTGGTCTTTCTCACTTCCGTTGATACTATCGATAGTTCACCTCTCGCTACTTTATCTACTTAACTTGCTGATACATATGAACTGAATATGACCTACAATTGTTCCAGGATTTATGTTGATTACGATAGATTGACTATGATAAGCAGTTTGAATAAGTTATTGACAGAGAAATAAGTCAATCATGCATTTCCAGTACATTAATACATACATTTATTAAGAGATGCAACAGGCATCAGATGTACACAATCGTATTAGGATGGATAAAGCTAAAATAATGAATATGATTTTAGTAGAATATTTTTAGATGACATAAAATCACATTGAAAACATTAAACCTATGTCAACGTTAGACACACATTTCTGATTACTGTAATGTAAAAAGTTATGATAAATACCATCTATATCTACGTTAGTACATAAAAATGTAGTAAATTTGAACAGATAAGGGATGTATTTATAACAAACTGATTAAATAATCTGTCGCATCAAAACAATGAATGAACATCATTCTAACCCAGCGACAAGAACTGAAACTGAAATAAATGTGCGAATTTTTTCTCCCATTGGAAATTACCAAAATATGACAGAATTTACGGATATCAGAATATAAATGACAGTAAAATATTATCAGTAGTACAGGACCTGTGTAATACTTGATACTATTAACTGTGAAATATAATTTAAACCGAACAACTGTAATAAGTGTGAACAAATTATTTTATGGTCAAATAATGAACCAGAGATCCATGCTTATACTTTTGCTGCAACACCGTACACGTGCTGAGTTAACAAATCAATGCAAATAATTAGCATAATAACTATTAGTGATGTGCTCACTTGGTGTTGAAGCCACCCGGAGGATAATTGGGAAGATTCATACTTTTAACTGCACTGGCGACATAGTCCACATTCAAAAAGTTAGCATCTTCGCCGGCTGAATTAATTATATCTGAGTATGAATAAAGGTAAATCATATAAACACTTTATGCGTACCAGTTTATGAATGTTACATTAACTAGACTTTAAAATTCAAACAAATGACTATTAGTATTTGTGATGTAAATCAGAATACGCAATAATTTAATTTGCATGGCTAATTATAATCAAATGAAAACTGTTAAAACGGATAAATCTGAATGTTTCTATGAAAAGAGACGCAATCGATATGATGCAGGTTTGCATTAACAAAACTGGTAATTAATTGAGAATAAACGAAACATGAAAAGATTTGATTTTTAACCTATTGTTCACAACACAATCATTAGTTTTTGGGAAACGTTAAGGTCTCAAAGACAAGACATATTTCTTGAATCACACTTTAACGTGTTGTAGATGTTTTGAGTGATCGATAATTCAAAACGTGAATTAAGAATAAAAGATAACAAATGCTCAATAAAAGTAAGTAAACAATAATACTAGTGGCACTATTGTATTTTCCAATTAAATACATTGGGTGCTTTACAATAAATTTCATGGAATGAATAAGTAAATAGATAAGATGAGAAACAGGTCCAGGTTGATATGATAGGAAGATACTGAATCTTCATGCTTCATTTGTTCACCGAAAATCCTCAACGTAAGTCTAAAAAATAAATACCATCGTAAAGAAATCGGTCTACGCGAGTTTCAATCAAGGTAAATGATAACACAATAAAAAGTGAATTCACTGACCATCTGCCCTAGATAAATACATGTATATGAATATCTTAAACAATCTATGAAACATTAAATAAACAATTCTTTATTAAAAAAATTAAGATTTATAAACTTACCGACAATCATATTATTTAAAGAAGTATCTAATTCCATTTCTTTAAAAACTGCCTCTGGATTCACAGTTGGGGCAGCATCTAAAGCTACCAGGAGAACACTCATATTATCACGACTGCCCTGTAGAAACCAAAGTAACAAAAATGCAATATAACCGTAAAAAGTAGGAAAAGAAGTAAACGACTTTACTGTAAACTTATGAGTTGGTTTTACAATTTAATACGTGACCGAAAAAAATTGATGACTGTTGAGTTGATTTTATTGGGAACCTAGCAATTCAAATGCTTGAAGTGTATTTTAAGATAAATGATTCATAATACATGTAAAAATCATTCGAACTATCTACGAAAGGATTGAGGCAACAATTAGCAACCAATCCATGTGTGAGAAATGAAATATTAGATATTGTCAAATCACTTGTGATGAAAAACGGAATTAAAAGCTATGATGGATAGGTTGGTGAAACATCTATAATATAAGCAATTTAGAATTCTGGTATATAAGGCACAAAAAGACTAATATTCCGAAGTACTTTTCAGTATTAAATACATCCTGCCTTGTAAGCGTTGGTGCTTTTTCGACATATGTCATTGAAACTGTGGCATATCATTCATTATATTTGGACCGGTATTCAATTATATATATGTATATAAACTTACGTTAACTTAACGCTCAAAAAAGAAGTGGTAGACAATACACATACTTACTATTTGATTTGAAGCAGCGTTCTGATGCATATTTTCGGTAATCAGAATTCAGTATTTCAAAGCACTCGTAATATTGATGATTTATACAATACCACTCTCCAGTCCGTAGCTGCTAACTTGACGTTGTAATCGGGCTAGCCTATCAAGATGACCAACCTAGCTATATCGGCTGGAGTATAAGTTTCTGTAAGTTCAATTATGCCGGGCAGATCGATTGGAGAACAGTCAGACTAAAAGCAGAAACTCAAGGTCTGAGTGGGAAGTCGTATTGCTAAATGTAGAGGGGTTTGATAGCAGCAGGTTATTTCCCCCGGACAACCAGCATTATTTGATCCTGCCTTTTCACAAGATGGGGTTAAAAAAGATCGATCCTAAAAAATGTCACACCTCACTTTACCTCGCGGATTTCCGTCTCCGGGGGTAAGGCCAGTTGATGGGCGGGTCTAACACTTTAAAAACTTCCCATAAAAATGCTATGCATGACTGGCCTCAATTAGTTGTTCCTCCGGATCTGCGACCCCGCTCACAGGTCGCTAAGAGCAACACCAAACCAACTTCCTTTTCAAGTTCCTCAAGAAACACCCTGGACTGAGTCATGTTGGTAGATGTAGACTACCTGGTTGGGTTCCGCAGGACGAAACTAATCGATGGTTAGAGACCTCGAATGTCGTAGCTGAAAATCGTTTGCAGTAGTGCAGGTGCAACCACTTGTTGTGTCCTCTCAAATTGTAAACTTGTGAATTCTTCATTACCTCTATCTTTCTCTCTTAAATATGTTTCACTAAATTATACTTCTTGAATGATATCTCTGAACCCTAATATTCTCCATTACCGCTAATACGTCTACTATCACTCACATTATGGGGTTTGAACTGACAATTACGTCTTTGAGCTAATGTGGTATGGCGACCAGAACTTATGTACGTACGTACGAAGTTCTACGTTGTAACTAACTGACTGACTGACAGTACCACTCAGATGGAGAGAAACAGTTATTAGTAACACGACTAGACCAAGGTTGAGTAGCACAGCAAGGATGAAATTAACCAGATGTTCGTTTATTTAAAACACAAAACTGTTTACCTTTCGTCAATCATAATGATGATGGTACTTTACTGGTTATTTTGGAAACTAACCTTGTGCAAACTAGTGTCGAGAATTTCTGAACAAACATCTGCCAACGACGGTAAGCAACACAACCGATGAAGGACGTAAGTGGTAAGAGTGTCATTTTCGAAAACATCCCAAATTCCATCACATGCAAGAAGAAGGACTTGATCGAGTTCTTTTTTGCGTTCAATAATGAATACATCTGGTTCAGGAGAAACAAGCTGCTCCGTTGCTCCACGGTTAAGCACTTGTTTGTATTCAAAATCTCCTAGGGATCTATGAGGAGGAATACAAGATAATATGAAGCAGTAGCAATGAACATATGGGTCACCTATACAGAAAATATTTCACAACGGGCTACATATTAAAAAACTCCCAAGAATACTCAATCTGAACTTTTGAAGCTAAATATGAATCAGTCAGTCAAAAGAAACATAGGACCTGGCACATGTGTACATCGGCTTGCGTTGCCAAACGCCATTAGCAAAGCGAGGAGAAATCATATAGGATATTCCCTATAAGTGGCGGTAATAACAAAAGTCGGAGGGCTGGCATAGGTAATTAATGTTTATAAAGATTCACCCCATCACCAACTCAATTTCCATACTTACCTAGTACTTTGAGTGTAATATCAGAATTACTAACTCAATTAACTAAAAATGAGGATTATGATCGAACTTGTACAATATTTCCGTACTTACGATACTGTCAATTAATTAGTTTTTATTCTGAACGGAAAGAACAGTGTCCGTCTACGGAGCGATAACAGATGGAACAAATGAACAAGGGTGAAGGGACGAACGGTCAATTCTGTACTGATTCGAGAACAAGAATATTACTTTTTATTACGCTATTGATGTACATGTGGTTACAAAAATTGAGATAAAGGAAAACTAAGGAACACGATATACAAACACATATTTCGAGAAACAAAACCCAAAGTAGTTGATGAGTGTTACTTTAAACAGAGATATCAAGATTACGGACTTTGAAACAAAATGTGACGGTTTGGAAGCATGTTATCACTAGGAAAATTTAGGAGGAAATATTGTATATAAACATGTGGGTAGAGCGTGATAACCGTTCGCTAACCAAAGGACGAGTGTACTGCGCCGCAGTTCGCTCCGCTCTCCTATATGGCTGTGAAACATGGCCGTTGGGATTAGATGTTCGTAGGGTTACTAGTATTCGATCATAGATGTTTAAGAAGCATTGCTCGTATATCGTGGGACAACCGAGTAAGCAATGCTATCGTTAGGAAACGAGTACTAGGTAACGATGGCAGATCAATAGATGAATTAGTGAAACCTCATCAGTCACCAATGGTTAGAGACCTTGAACGACATGGCTCAAAATCGTTTGCAATGGCGCAAGTGCATCCATTCTTTGAGCTCTCTCAAATCCTAATCTTCTGGATTCGTCAGCACCTCTACTTTTGTCTTTCTAACCTTTTCTCACTAAATTATACTTCTTGAATAATATCTTCGAACCCTAGTCTTCTTCATTACCATTAATACCTCTACTATCTTTATCACTATGGGATTTGATTTGACATTTGTGTCTCTGTGCTAATGTGGTTTGGCAACATGAACTTATGTACATACGTACGTAGTTCTACGTTGCAACTGACTGACTGATGTGGGTAGAGCACTATGAGTACAGCAGACGCACTAAATATATATAACATCAAAGCAGCATTAATGGACCTGGCCAAATGATGTTGACCCACCAAAAATTAACGAAATCAGCATATCCATCAGATATATAAAGAGGGGTAAAGCGGTAGGATTAGACAACATATAAGCTAAGGAATTGAAAGCAAACATAGCAGTAAGTGAAGAAATGTTACACGCTCTATTAAGCAGGATTTAGGAGGAAGAACAGCATAATAGAAAGAAGAACACCATATCAGGATACCAGACAAAGATCTCAGCAAGATTAAGAACTACGGAGTGGTCACATTTCTATCAATACCAAGAAAAGCCTTCAACAGTGTTAGTGAACCGAATGAAATATTACAAAGACGCCCGAATTCCAGATCAGCAGGCTGGGTTTCGTGAAGATTGACCATGTAACAACCAAATCGCAATACCATGGGTCGTTGCGGAATAATCAATTCAATAGAACTCACCACAGAACAGCAAGTTTCTCGATTACGAGAAAGCATTTGGGAGCATGGACAAGGTGACGCCAAGATGTACCTAAGATAGTCATCATCATACGGAACCCTTACGAAGGACTACAGTGCGAAGCCATGCATGGAGAACAGCTCACAGAATCGTTCTAAGTTAAAAACCGTTGTCAGACAAAGTTATCTAAAATCACCCTCTTACTTCTGGTGGTCGACTGGATTATGAAAATATCAACATCTTAGTGGAAGCACGGGGTACGGTGGACAGCTCGGGTGCGACTGGAAGATCTAGACTTTGCAGATGATCTAGCTTTCCCAAAACATACACAACAAATGCAGATGAAGACGGCCAGTGTAGCAGTAGGCATCGCAGCAGTAGGTCTCAACACACACGAAGGAAAAGGCAAGATACTTAGGTAAAATACAGCATGCACCAACCAAATCACACTTTGTGGAGAAGCTTTGGAGGATGTGGAAACGTTTACTTACCCAGACAGCATCGTTGATAAACAAGGTGGACCTGATGCAGATGTGCCGACGCGGATCATCATCATCAACAGCAACGTAGAATTTCGCACGCAAGTACAGCAGTTCAAGTTGCCATACCACGTTAGCACAGAGATATAATTGTCAATTCGAATCCCATAGTAGTAGAGGTAGTAAAAGTATTAGAAGTAATCCGAGAGATTAGGGTTCGAAGATGTTATTCAATAAGTATAATTCAGTGAGGTAAATTTAGAAAGATAGAGGTGATGAGGAATTCAGAAGGTTAGGATTTGATAGAACACAAAGAGCAAATGAACCTGCGCCATTGCAAACGGTTTTGATCCATGTCATTCATGGTCTAACCATTGGTGACTTTCGTTCCGTCGACCCCAACCAGGTAGTCTACATCTACCAACATGACTCAGTCCACTTGTCAGTGACTTCATGGATTTGTGCCATGTTTTGTTCTGGCGGCCCAGGACGCGCGGACAGGCGATGTAAGGGCAGAAGTGTTACATGGGAAGAACTCAAAACAAAAGTCGACCAGCGTCAAAATCAGAATTTTCGTTACAAACGTGGAGACGATCGTATTATATAAAGATGAAACGGGGACCTGCCAAAACTATTAATCAAAAGAGACTGACGTTTATTTCCAATTATCCACCGTTGGGGAAATGGGGTGGAAGAGGTAACAGCCCGACTTCCTAACGTTGTAAGTCCTTATTTGGAACGCCAAGGGAATAGAGGAAGACCAAGGAACACAGCCGATATTTGGAAACAGACTTAAAAAATGAGACCAATTGGGTAGGACTGGGAAGGATGGCCCTGGTAGAGTGGGTCGGTGCCTATGCTACATTAGGGGTAACAGGAGTATGAAGGCAAGTTTTCATTCAGTAGGTTTTACCATAGAACGTCGTACGTAAGAACATCAGTTCAGGTTACTACTAGCACAGAGAGATCTAATTGTCAATTCAAAACCCATAGTGCTAGGGGTTGTAGCAGTATGAGCGGTAGTTAGAAAGATTAAGTATCGACGATATGCTTCGACAGATGTAACCCGGTGAAATAGATTTACAAAAAGAAAGAAGGACATGATAATTCCAGTAGATTAGAATTCGAGAGAAGACAAAGAATAGATGCACAAGTACCGTTGCAAATTGTTTTGAGCAATGTCATTCAAAGTCTCTAAGCATCGGTTAGTGTCGTCTCCCGGACCCCAACCAGGTAGTCTACACCTATTAACATGGCTCATCCCAGTTGTCAGTAACCTCATGGATTTGTGCCACGTTTTGGTTTGGCCGCTAGCTGACCTCCAGTCTATCCCTACATCAGACCGCTCACCGAGGCAGTCGATGATTGGGTATTCAAAATACACGTCACAACCAGCTCAACTGATGACGTTTTACTACTTCATTTATTGACCTGCCATCCTTACCTAGTATCCGTTTCCTAACACTGACAGCCGCAGTTTGAAATAATCGATTTCGATGACAGTTCGCCATTGGCTGTCACTTGACCAGTAGTGTTTGATTAGAGAGGCAGTATAAGGTTAATATACTTCTTTGGTACACCTTCCCATGACAGACACACCCACAGAACTTCACGATCAACAGAGTCGAATGCTCCCTTAAGGTCGAGAAACAAAACCATTGTGGGACGTCTAAGAGTGTGTCTACGTTCTAGGATCGAAAGTGTGAAAATATGGTCTATACATCATTGTTCAGGTATGCAACCAGCCTGCTTTTCTCGAGTCTGCTATTCACGAGCCTGAGTCAGGTGTCGCAGTATTATTGAAGCTGATATCGCAGACACTTGAAGAAGTTGACAAAGTGCAGTCTTCTGACTACCCTAAGCAAAAGTGCAAGCATGTTCGAAATGCGGGTCTCACCCTCAAAATGCAAAATGTTGCTTCAAGATTGGTTTGAATTGTACCTGAAATAGTGATAGGGGGTGAAGTAGTTGAGTGTGTTGACCGCTTCACTTATCTTGGGAGTTTCATCAGCGCTAATGGCCTGGTGACTGAGCGTTTGCAAACTTGCGTCATTTATGGCGTAAGCGAGATATCCGTTTGCTAACGAAAGGTCGCGTTTACTGTGCAGCAGTTCGCTCCGTTCTCCTATATGGATGCGAAACATGGTCGGTAAGAGTAGATGTTCGTAGGTTACTAGTATTCGAACACAGATGTCGTACAAGTATTGCTCGTGTATGGTGGGACAACCGAGTAAGCAATGCTGGCATTAGGGAGCGAGTACTAGGGAAGGATGGCAGATCATTAGATCAAGTAGTGAAACTTAATCAGTTGAGGTGGTTGGGACCTGTTTTAGGAATGCCTAACCACCGACTGCCTCGACGAGCTATGTTTTGCAGTGTAGGAGTACGTTGGAAGAAAGCTAGGGGCGGCCAAACCAAAACATGGCACAAATCCATGAAGTCACTGACAAGTGGACTGAGTCATGTTGGTAGATGTAGACTACCTGGTTGGGGTCGACGGAACGAAAGTCACCAATGGTTAGACCATGAATGACATGGCTCAAAACCGTTTGCAATGGCGCAGGTTCATTTGCTCTGTGTTCTCTCAAATCCTAATCTTCTAGATTCATCAACACCTCTACCTTTTTTTTCTAAACTTATCTCACTGAGTTATACTTCTTGAATATTATCTTCAAATCCTAATTCTCCATTAGCAGTAATTCATCCACTATCTCTACCACTATGGGATTTGAATTGACAATTGTGTCTCTGTGCTAATGTGGTATGGCAACATGAACTGCTGTACTTACGTACGAAGTTTTATGTTGTAACTGACTGAATATCGTAGACACTGTATTAGTCAAACTGGTTCCTCTGTGATTAAAACAAGAGGACTTTTACCCATTCTTATAGACTGGGACAATCAGTGTTTGAGACCAGTTAGATGGCATAACGCTCAGTTCTCCGACTCCAACTAAGCTGTCAGTTAATCTGACTGCTAAAACTGGACCACCACCCCTGAAAATCTCAGGGCTTTTCGATCGGGATTTGTTGCTTTCCATCGGTTGAGATTCCCTATAGCTTTTTCAAACTAATTAAGAGTCGGAGGACTCACATAAACTCGCCATCAAGGTTGACTGGAGATTGTAGGTAACCGAAGTGTGTCTGAAGGCCAGATGAACTACTCCCTAGTGTTCTGCTCATCAGTACCTACATCAAAGAGGCCACGGGAAGTAGCAATGCGTCTTCCAGATGCACAAAGTGTAATTTGAGTTTGTTATTTATTTTGACACGGTGAGGTCAAATGTGTAACTGTATTCGGTTTATATATGAGCATTTCGGAGACGCAGCATACACAGATGGCGCGAGATTTTGGGGTCCTAGCTAAGAAAGCCTGTTGTCCAGTTTGCCAAAAGGTCCGGACAATAAAGGAAGCGAAATGTAGTTTAGAGCGAGGTTTACGAACACCAGGAATAACACTTCGTGTACTTGAATTGTTAGTATCAGTGATGCGAGGTGATAAAGGAATATCAGGAAGGTTAGTTATCGAGTTTAGAGAGTTATAACAAGGATTTGGTTGTGACCAAGTTGATCTCGCGTGCTGTCATAGGTATAAAGGTGGATGCCACTTTCCGGCTGCCCACACAGTGAAAGGGTATTTCTTGAGGAATCTGAAAAGGTTAGATTTGTGTTGGTCTTAGCAACCTGTAAGCATGACCACATAGTTCAAGGGACTACTCATTGGGACAGGTCACACACAGCTCCGCTCCGCTCTTCAAAAGGCTTTACCACAGGAGATGAAAATCTGTGGAGTAAGGTGAAGTTTGATATTTTTTGAGGTTGACGTTTCTAACCCCTTACTTCCGTTGTAAGGTAGCAACGCTGCAGATGCTGGTTGTCTGAGGGGACTTACATCGATTTGCCATTCAGGATGATTGGAAATCGTGGGCAACCGAAATGTTGCTGAAGTCCAGTTGAATTGATCCCTCAAGTGTTCTGCCCATCGATCCAGTCTCCTAGATTGAGAAGTCAGTCAGTCAGTTGCAACGTAGAACTTCGTACGTAAGTACAACAGTTCATGTCACCATACCACAGCACAGAGATGTAAGTGTCAATTCAAATCCAATAGTAGAAGAGGTAGTAAAGGTATTAGAAGTAATCGGAGAGGTTAGGATTAGAAGATATTATTCACGAAGTATGATTCAATGAGATAAGTTTAGAAAGTCAAAACTAGGGGTGTTGAAGAATCCAGAAGATTAGGAGTTTGAGAGAACACAAACAATAAATGCACCGGCGCCATTGCGAACGATTTTGAGCCATGTCATTCAAGGTCTCTAACCATCGATTATTATCATCTCGCGGACCCCAACCAGGTAGTCTACATTTACCAGCCGGAGTTAATCCAGTTGCCAGTGTCTTCATGGATTTGTGCCATATTTTCGTCTGGCCGCCCCTAGTTTTCTTCCAACCTACTCCTACATCGCAAAACATAACTCGACGAGGCAGTTGGTGGTTGGGCATACGCAGAACATGTCCCAACCACCTCAACTGATGAAGTGTCACTACTGCGTCTATTGATCTGCCATTCTTACCTAGCACCCGATTCCTAATAACAGCGTTGCTCACTCGGGTGTCCCACGATATACGAGCAATGCTTCGAAGACACCTATGATCGAAAACCAGTAACCTACGAATATCTTCTACTCTCACTGGCCATGTTTCACAGCCATAAAGTAAGACGGAGCGAACTACTGCACAGTACACTCGTCCTTTAGTCAGCGAACGGATATCTCGCCTTCGCCATAAGTGACGCAGGTTGGCGAAAGCCAATCGAGCCTTCTGTATCCGTGCCGAGATTTCGTCAGTCACCAGGCCATCGGCACTGATGAGACTCCCAAGATAAGTGAAGTGGTCTACACGTTCGACTACTTCACTCCCTATCACTAATTCAGGTGCCGATGAAACCCAATCTTGAAGCAACATTTTGCATTTCGAGGGGAAAACCACATCCCGAACATGCTTGCATTGTTGCTTAGGGTAGTCAGAAGACTCTGCATTTTGTCAGCGTCTTCACCAAGTAGGACAATGTCATCGGCATATTCTAAGTCGATAAGCGAGCCACCTGGTAGACGGTCTACTCCTGAAAATTCAGACGAGGATAAGGTTATTTCTAGGAGCATGTCTATGACGGGAAAAAAATGTTCCTAAAGAATATGAAATATCCAGTAGAGATATCAGATATTTGTTTGGTCATTTTCATATCAAATCTACTGAAAAAAAAATATAACGCAAGTTTTGTTTTGAAAACACAAGCATCCATTACTATGAGCTAGAAAACTCACGGAAGATTTTTTAGATGGTGGTTTATTTTGTATCATAAATGTTTTTTTATTGTTTCTTCTCAAAACTTTTTTTAATGTCATGACATATAAAGGATCCGTCACGAACATCAGTGCTAAATATTCTTAATTACGATCACGCAGAAAAAAATCATGATCTTTTCAGAAGAGGATATCTTTTTGGTGTGCGTCGAGATACAGAGCTATGCTAACAACATCCAACTTCTGAAGCAGTATTTAACATTAACAACCTCATAAATAAAATTATTGGATCACATAATATTACACAGATACAATGAGATCTAGCGTTTAACAGCGAGCAAATCTAATACGCTCAAAACAGGCAGAGAAAATATCTAGAGTTTTACGGCTTTCAGAGCATACGGACCCTATTGGTGACTAAAATAGTTGTCTAATTAAACGATTGATCCTAAATATTTAAAAATAAGTAAAGATGAGAAAATATCATAGATAATATGCTTTACCTTGAAACAGCTAGGGATCCATTAACGCGAGACAACATGACTCTACCACCAGCTTCAGAAATTCGTCGACTTTCAATGGGATTATATGGTTTATGGTCTTGCGTTGCAAGGAAGGTTTTGTTGTCGCGAATAAGTATCGCTCTTGAATCACCACAATTCGCCATAATTATATGGGTTGGTGTGACAAAGGCAATCACTGCTGTGGAACCTGATTTCTCATCAGAATCATCAGACGCTAGGTCTCGATCAAATGCCAAAAATCCATTTATGATGCCTTTTTTGACAATCGCTGTATCAAGCTCTTTATCAAGACTAAGCTTCTGAAATTCTTCTGTATTAAGTATAGCCTAAATGTAACTGAGACTAAAAGGGTTACTAACTTACATCTAACAACTTGGCTGCACAAAGTTCTGATACGCGAGATCCCGCATGACCATCAAATACGCCAAAATACGACCAATATTGCAGAGGACTGGGAAGTTCGGTTTTTGCCACATGAGCATCTTCCATCTCTAATCGCCATCCTTGCATGCTTGAAATGGCATACCTAAGCCCGTTTCCCTCGCCCACATTAACTACTTTTTCTGTTTTGGGTTTTTCCAGGAAGGCACCCATAAGCACATACGAAAGAGCTGAAGTTTAATTATGGTGTGAAATTAGCCAATTTCCTGAAAAAAATGGGAAAACTGTTAAAACCTACCATGACCTACATAGGATGGTAGTGGACTGAATTCTGGTCTATAAAGTTAGGTTTTTCGAATATACTTAATTTCTCTTGGATCCATTAAGCTGTATAGCTGGATCATAGTGGTTTTTAAAATCGTCACTTAAAAAAGCGTTTAAAAGATTGCCAGCCATTGTAAATGCTATCTTGAAGGCCTGTGGGATATGATGTAGTGAGTAGGTTTATTTTAAGTGGAACAATTGAAGTGATTAGTTACTGAAGCCGATTTGGTGTTGCTATACCATAGTATATTTAATTTTGAACTTTGAAATCGTGGTGGATAAAGGTCCGAGTATACACGTTTCAAGAGGTGATATCCGGTTTATTAACTTGTGCTTAGATAGATAAACATTATCAACATGGAGCTCAGTAAAGACGTGCGTTAGGTTAAGTTGTCACTAGATACTAGTACGGAGATATGACAGGAATTGTTAAAGGACTTGAATATTGTACTAATGATAATGAGAAAAACGGATTAAGAATAAAGTTTCGAAAGAGACAGTAGCAATACTGGCGCTCAATATTGTTAAGATAAAGTGCATCCATCTACACTATTGAGTGTGATTCTGAGCTATATCGCCGATTCCCAACCACTGAGCACGGTTACCACGCTGACTCCAACCAAGAAGTTTGCAAGTAATATGGCTCAGAGAAACAGTTGATAGCTCTACGGTTAGTCGGTCATATGCAACGTTGAACCTGGCATATATATACAACGGTTTAAGAAGCAATCCCTAATAGGTAAGACGAAATAAAATTGTCAAGATACTTTCAATGACGTTCTAGTTTGAATTGATGGTTTAGTCTGCCCCTCTCAAGCATTTTTAAACATGATTCTGTACTAACACTGTGTCCACGAAAGTAGTCATTAGACAAGTAGAAATGCTTTAGCCATAACAACCAATAGAGATTAGAGACGACACCTAGAATTCGGATAGTCAGAAACCCACAGTAACCATTTGAAGAATGATGAAAATCCTACCATACGATTAGAAGACGTCCACTACTTGTCAAAAGTACACCAGGTAATGCAACTGTAATAAAAATAACGATTGAAATAAACACTTCCAGATTATAGATACAACACACAAGTAACCAGGATTTCGAACTATTTATCTCATATATGCACAGCAATATTTGAAGAGTTTATAGCTAATTTAGTCATATACGACAACTGACACTCGACAGACACTTCCGATGTCACCCTGTGGTCATTACAATCAATTGTAATCCAGTGATCTTATTTGAAAAAAAAGCGTGAAACGGACAAGTCACAAAAAAG